CGGTTGGGACGAGAAGCAGCACCTAGACGACGATGCCTTTGGGGCGAAGGGGAACATCGTCAGCGCATTCGATGCCTTTCGTAAGTTGCCAATCTTCCGAATACAAGCCCTTCCCTTAGTGCCGATACCTTGCATGTGGCGGGCAAGATTGGCGGAATAGTAATGTGCTAACAGTCCTGTCTCCCTAGCCAAGGCGAAACCGCAATATGTGACGCGTACGGCTGGCGGCGGAAAGTGGACTGTCGCGATGACGGTCATTTCAGTCTTCCTCTTCTGGTCTGAACTCGGTCGCTGGTGGCGTGGTACCGAGACGCACACCTTTGCCGTGGAAAAGGGGGTACTGCACGAGATGCAGATCAACATGGATATTGTCGTGCGCATGCACTGCGATGACCTTCATATCAACGTTCAAGATGCGGCGGGTGATCGTATTCTCGCAAGCAGCATGCTCAAGCGCGACAAGACGAACTGGTCGCAGTGGGTGGACAGCAAGGGCATTCACCGCTTGGGAAGAGACAGCAAGGGCAAGATTGACACCGGCGCCGGCTGGCAGGAGGAGGAGGGTTTCGGGGAGGAGCACGTCCACGACATTGTGTCGCTCAGCAAGAAGAGGGCTAAATGGGCCAAGACACCCAGACTCTGGGGTGACGGCGACAGTTGCCGCATCTACGGCAACTTGGATGTCAACAGGGTGCAGGGTGATTTCCACATTACTGCCAGGGGCCACGGCTACATGGAGTTTGGAGAGCACTTGGATCATGCCGGTAAGTCAATCATCTCGGGCTTGAATCTTGACGCGCTGGCTTACAATTTCATGCAGCTTTCAACTTCTCGCACATCATCTCGGAGATGTCCTTCGGTCCATTCTACCCCTCGCTTGTGAACCCCCTGGATCGCACGGTCAACCTCGCCAGGATCAACTTCCACAAGTTCCAGTACTACTTGTCCGTGGTTCCTACCGTCTACTCTGTCGGCCATTCGTCGTCCAACCTCATCTCTACGAACCAGTATGCCGTCACGGAACAGAGCAAGGAGACCGATGACCACAACATCCCCGGTATCTTCTTCAAGTACGACATTGAGCCCATTCTGCTATCCGTGGAAGAGTCCAGGGACGGCTTCCTCCAGTTTTTGATGAAGATTGTCAACGTCATCAGCGGTGTTCTCGTTGCCGGCCACTGGGGTTATACCCTCACCGAATGGTACAAGGAGGTCATGGGCCGGCGGAGAAGAGAGAGAAGCGAAGGCTTCATTGGCACGAAGAGCTCAGAGTATGACCAGTAGAGAAGTGCGTGGCATCGACGGATGGGAACAAAGTGACATAGGAGTTCAAGGGTTGTGTATAGATAAGCATCTGGGATAGGGGAAATTGTTTCTTTGCATCGTTTATACCGTCTGAAATTCAGCCAATAGGAAAGTTGACAAGCCAGAGGTTCATACCAAGTCTATTCTACAGACATGTTGGTGACATTACCACCGAAGTGAGCACCTCGGCGAGGCGGCTCCGAGCTGGACCGTCCGGGTTGACCGTGCAGGTTGACTGTGCAGGGGCATTACCTCGGCGCAGCTATTCCCGGTGTAGTTTTCGGAGCGAAGCCGGCAGTGCAGGGATGGAGCCTTTGACCTCCACTAGGTGTACACTTCCCCCGGACTCGTGCACCGGCTTTTCAATTGAGTCTTTCCAATTGGATCCAATATGCCGATGTCGCCAACAGCCAACCCAAAAAATTCCACATCACACCCCGCCACCAAGTTCGACTCACAGTTTCCGGTGGGAGGTGCTCATTGACGATGGCACCAATTGAGCTTGCCAGTCGATCAGGAGGCGCCGCGAGGGTGAGGAATTACTGCATTTCAATCAGTGAGGAGAGAAACGAGAAACTGACGAAACTATAGCGGCTTCTGACTCGCACACGACCATGCCTTTCTGCATCCTCGAGCCTGCCGATCAGGAGGACATTCGCGACCGCCCAGGACGTCGAGCAGCAAGACGCTGAGATGCGCAAGCTGCTCCCCAAGTCTATCAAGCCCAACGCATACCGCAGACTTCACGACAACCTCCTCAAGGTTCGCCATGTCCTCGGACAGCAGCGCCTCACCCTCGCCGAAAAGATCCTGTACAGTCATTTGGACAATGTCGAGGACTCGCTTCTCACGGACACGGACAATGGACGCAACATCCGCGGCAGTGCCAACCTCAAGCTTAACCCGGACCGAGTCAACATGCAAGACGCATCGGCGCAGATGGCGTTGCTGCAGTTTATGTCCTGCAACCTCGCGAAGCCGGCCATTCCCGCCAGCATCCACTGTGACCACTTGATTGTGGGATCCAAGGGCGCTGACAAGGACTTGACGGACGGTATCAGTGTCAACAAGGAGGTGTTCGATTTCCTCGAGTCTGCCGGGCGCAAGTACGGCATGGACTTTTGGCCCCCTGGTGCAGGCATTATTCACCAGACGGTTTTGGAGGTCTACGCTCTTCCGGGTATCATGATGCTGGGAACCGACAGCCACAGTCCTAACGCTGGTGGTCTGTCTACTATTACTATTGGAGTTGGTGGTGCCGATGCTGTGGAGGCCCTTGTCGGCGCTCCTTGGGAGCTGAAGGCCCCTCGCGTGCTCGGTGTCAAGCTGACCGGCAAGCTCAACGACTGGGTGTCCCCCAAGGACGTTATTCTCAACCTGGCCGGCAAGTTGACTGTGCGCGGCGGAACCGGATTTATCGTCGAGTATTTCGGCGAGGGCGTCGAGACTCTTAGCGCCACCGGAATGGCCACCATTTGCAACATGGGTGCCGAAGTCGGCGCCACGACCTCCATCTTCCCCTACACGGCCGCCTCTGAGCGCTATCTCCTTCAAACCCGCAGACAAGCCGAACACCAGGCTCTGGATGCGTACAAGAAGTGGTCAAGCTTCAACTTCAGAGCTGATGAGGGCGCTCAGTACGACCAGGTCATCGAGATCAACCTTTCCGAGCTCGAGCCCCACATCAACGGCCCCTTTACCCCCGACTTGGCTACTCCCCTGTCCGCCTTCAAGGAGACAATCCAGACCGAGCAATGGCCTGAGGTCTTGTCGGCCGGCCTTATTGGCAGCTGCACCAACAGCTCCTACGAGGACATGACCAAGGTCGAGAGCATGGTCAAGCAGGCTGAGAAGGCCGGCTTGAAGCCCAAGGCACCCTTCTACATCACCCCCGGCAGCGAGCAAATCCGCGCTACTCTCGAGCGCGATGGCACTCTGAAGACTCTGGAAGGTGCTGGGGGCATCGTTCTCTCCAACGCTTGCGGCCCATGCATCGGTCAGTGGAAGCGCCAAGACGATATCCCCAAGGGTCAGCTCAACGCCATCCTGACATCGTACAACCGCAACTTCAAGGGCCGCAATGACGGCAACCCCGGCACCATGAACTTCCTCGCCTCCCCTGAAATCGTCACCGCCATGGCCTACGCCGGCGCGACCACCTTCAACCCCATGACGGACAAGCTGCAGACACCCGACGGAAAGGAGTTCAAGTTCGAGGCCCCCCACGGCCTGGAGAACCCCAAGACCCCCTTCGAGTCCGGCGTCGCGTCCCTCCAGTCCATCTCGCCCGACGAGCCCAACGCCGACGTCAAGATTGCCATCGCCCCGACCTCGGAGCGCCTCGCCTTCCTCGAGCCTTTTGCGCCCTTCCCCGAGAGCGACCTGAGCGGCCTCAAGGTCCTCGTCAAGGTCACTGGAAAGTGCACTACTGACACCATCTCGGCCGCAGGCCCCTGGCTCAAGTACAAGGGCCACCTGCCTAACATTAGCACCAACACGCTCAACACGGCCGTGAACAAGGAGACGGGCGAGGTCAATGCCGCCTACGATGTCGACGGCTCCAAGCACACCATCCCCGAGCTCGCGCAGCTGTGGAAGGAGCGCGGACAGGAGTGGCTCGTCGTCGCGGAGCACAACTATGGTGAGGGCAGCGCGCGCGAGCACGCCGCACTGCAGCCGCGGTACCTCGGCGCCCGCGTCGTGCTGACAAAGTCGTTTGCGCGCATCCACGAGACCAATCTCAAGAAGCAGGGTGTCGTGCCCCTGACTTTCGAGAACGAGGCCGACTATGACAAGATTGCGGCGTGCGACGAGGTCAGCACCGTTGGATTGTACGAGATGCTGCAGAACGGCGGGCAGGGCAAGGTGCAACTGCTCGTCAAGAAGAAGGACGGCTCCGAGGTGTTGATCCCGACTGCGCACGCTGTTACCAAGGACCAGGCTGGATTCATCCTCGCGGGTAGCGCTCTGAGCATGCTTGCCAAGCGTAACCAGGCTTGAGATTATGTTGGATCAGACGTGTTTTCTTGATATTGGGGGCTTTCTGTTCTCGTTTTGTTTTTCTTGTATGGGTCTTGTGGTTTACACAAAAGGCGAAAAGAGGTGAAGATAAAAATTCCGACGATTGTACATATCCCGCAGCGTCATTCTCCATTTCCGGGATAGTTTAAAGCAGCCAGGGCGTGTGTCACAGAAGAGAAGAAAATGATTTGAGAATTGGACTCTGCTGGAGCCGCATGAATGTGATCATCATGTAACAGAATTGCGCTCGCAGTCACGAATAAGCAACATATGCTGATTTATTCGACGAGAGGCTTTTCTCGTCTACCCGCTTTCCCCTCTAAACTCACATATTGAACCGAGGCTCACAGACTTTGACTTGGAAGCAATCTCCTAGATCTACGCTGCGTGAAGCAAATTCATCCTCGTTGAATGGAGTCACAGGCTTTGATCCGGCAGATACCATTACCGAAATACATCGACTCCCATGAAGCACACAGCCAGCCGCCTTGCCTTTTCTAGGCAATGAGAGAGGTGATCTCCACGCTGGTTTTCACGTCAGAATTGCTTGCATGGAGATCTCAGCCTGACCTTGAGATGCGCTGGACAGAGAGCAAGCACGCAAGGTGGGCAAGGATTAAGATTTTGGTTCAGCGGTCGAATTCACATCGCCAGAAATGTTTCCGGTTAATGCCGGGCGTTTAGCTCAGTGGTAGAGCGCCCGCTTTGCATACCTTCAGCGCCTGCGGGAGGCCCAGGGTTCAATCCCCTGATCGTCCAACCTTTTGTCCACTTGAATGCATCTCTGTGGAAAGAATTTTTTGGGCGATTCATTTTGTTTTAACCTCGTGCCATTCAGACGAGAGTGATGAACTCGCGAGCCACGCCGTCAAAAAGCTTCACTTCGTTCGTGTCCTTCAAGGCCCCTGCTCGGAACGATACGCCAACCCGCCTGAAGATTTCAATCCCGGGTTCCACCCTCTCGAGGACGATGAAGCCGTGATACGAACGGGCATCGCCCCTGTTCCACGTCTTTCCCACCAGCAGGCAAGAATACCGCTCGCCCCGGGTCACCGATCCTGCATAGTCGCAGATCATGGTGTACCTGTTCGCCTTCGCATCCACGAGGTCGTACCTGACGCCTTCCGTGAACCCCATCATCAAATCACCATCTTGTTTCTCTGTAGTCGTGATCTCGAGGCCATGTACAATAGCCCCGTGAACCACGATCTTAGCTCCCTCACAGACTTGACCGTATATATCTTCCGCCATGAGAGGCTCTACCCGAACATCCAACACCTCCAAATCACCTTTGAAGTGCGACATGGGATGGAACATGACGGGCCCCTCAATAGCCGCCCAACTCCAGCTCGGCGCCCTCCACTTCCCAGGCCGTCGCGAGACGGTCTCGGGATTACGCCAGTAATCGTCGTCCGCGGTCCAGAGCAACTGCGTCGCGAAATCTCCCTCCCACAAGCCGGCAATATACCGGTTCAGTCGATGGTCTTCCCGTCGTCCACCGTACACGTCCTCATGCATCAGCCAGAACTGCTTCGCCATCCCAGACAGCGCCGACAGCCGGTCCGCGTCGAAGCTGATGGACCGCTCCGAGAAGAGCTGAACGACCTGCCGCCACTGCAGATACGCCCTCTCCGCCGAAGACAGCGCCCGAAACAGCTCTGGCGAGCGGAAACACCGGACCGACTCCTCGTCGAGCTCGACGGGCTGGTCGCGGCGGCAGGCGCAGGAGCGCGAGGTGTTGCACTCCCAGACGAGCTCGTTGGTCGTATAGTGCAGCGTTCTATTCGACAAAATCGCCTCCTGCAGCGTCCACGCACGCTTATTGATGGGCTCCCCGTGTGCACCTTCTGCTTCGGTGGTCCGGAGAAGGACAGTGATGTCGTTGTGTTTCCTCTTGAGCTCGTCACGGACGTAGACCGGCCGCACGACGCCGTCCCCGAGCTCGTCGAGGCGCTGCGGCGGGACACCAAAGGCCTGGGGCGCAAAGACGCCGACGCCGCTCCCGTCCGCGTGGTCCACGGAGATGGTCACCGTCGCGTTGGAGTAGACCTCGCACATGCGGCCCGCCTCCCGAGCCCAGTCTTGGGCGTCGCCTTGGATGATGCAGAGGGCGTCGATCCACAGGTACTGCAGCCCTAGGTTTCTGGTGATGGCAACGGCGTCCCGCAGGGTCGGGGGCATGTCGGCGTACGGCATGGCATCTTGATGCGCGGTGAAGTTGAGGCGGGTCGTTTTGAAGGCTGGGTGGGAGGCTGGGTCACCCCAGCAGTAGCTCAACGCTGCGTATGCACCGGAGGCCCCGCGAGACTCGACGAGGCGGGGTTCGTGGAGGTCTTTGTTGGTTCCGACGTCGATGACGCGGGTCGGGAGGACCGAGGCTGATGCTGTTTGTCTGCAGGATGGGTGGTTTGCGAGGCAGTCTTGGAGCCATGATGATGCTAGGGTAAGACTGGCCGGGGAGGACGAGTGGCTCTCTACTTCCTGGGCTGGACCGATTGTCGGATGGCATGCGCCGTGGTCGTCTGTTTATGTAGTGAGCGAGTTGAACGAGATAATCAAGTGATGATTCTGACGTAGGGACTCATATCTAACCTCGTCGCGAGAAGAGCTCCAGAGCGATGTTACCCTCTCCCCAGCCTGACACGGAAATCTGGAGCGGAGTGCCTGATGCGAAGCGCATCTGTAGCAGTCCAGATACCTCTTTGCCGCCGGGCTCATATAGATCCTTCTTTCGCAGACGCAACGCAGCCCAGAGGAGCTGGCAGGGCCGGCATGATGTGGTCGTAGCGGATCGCTGGAGGTCTCGAAGCTCGATGAACTTGGCCATGCGCTGGTTCGCGGCGAGCTTCTGGCCCTTGGCTTCCTCCGCGCCGAGGTTGGAACATACTGCGCAGTTCATCTTCCGCGACTCTCTCTATGGCATTTTTATCGTACCGAGTAAGAACTACTGGGTGCGATGCTAGATGTTTTGGTGGTTTGACTTGATTCGTCTTGGCGTAAGCGAAGTTACTTAAGCATGCATAGTAAGTCCCCAAGACGTTTTTCAAAGCCCGCCTATTTGAGCTTCATGTGCATGATCTTGGTATGCCTGTGAAAGGGAACAGACATTTCGGCTCTTGAGAGGTGGTGACCTTGTAGCTTTGGATACCTTGAGGAAAGCTTTTCGAAACGCCAAATGACAAGATGAGCGTCTTCTTCGAGGCCATGATGTTCGCAAGACATGTTCTCGACAATACAGGTTTGCCTTTTCAGCCTGACTCTCTCATAAGTGCACAACCACCAGCTCTGTGACGAGAATCTCAGTGAGCTGCCACTATTGTATCCGGAACTCTCTCATGAGCATTCCTGTCGTCGACTCTTCAGGCAACCTAGTCAGAAGACTAAGTGTAAGTAGCTACTTGAGAGGTGTTAAGAAGTCTGGTGCTGTTCAATATCATCAGCGAGAATCAGGTAAGTTGAAAACTGTGGAAAGCACGCTGCAACTCTGGCCACAACAAGGTGTCCAAAAGACGGCACAGAACCACGAGAAGCTTCGAAACAATAACAACAACAACGACAAGTCAGCAGTCGGGTCTATAGCCATGGACAAGAGAGTAAGCTCAGTACAGTGGCGACTAATCATAATAATCAGACATCGATATGGCTATAGATAAAATCACAAAGCATCCCCTTTTTCAACACGACGTTGAAACGGCCGACTCTCTTCGCCGGGCGCATCGGAACCACCCACAACCTTCCCAAGGACAAAGATGCTCCCGCAGCGACAGCTTCAACCACGTTGTTGCGGGCGCTCAGCCCTGAGAGAGTGCACCGTTACCCCGACCAGTCACCGACCCCCTTCTTCCCCCATGCTCATCCCCAAGGGATGGGGGAAGAACTTTTGATCACACGGATTGACGGATCAGATGGCACCTCTCAAAGCTCCGGACTGGGGCTTTGCCTCATCCGGAGGGAAGCCAGGTTCAGCGAAAACGCGGGGTAAAGGAGATTTGATATGTGGAGGAAGATGGCGGATCATGGCGCTCGCCGGGCGTCTGGGGAAAGTGTCCTGGGCTCCTGGCTTTTTTCTCTGGCTTTTTGTACGTAATGGAGACGGCACGGTTTGATGAGCGCGCCGGACTCCTACCTTTCAAGCCCAGGGCTTGGTTTGGTGTAAGCCAGATTTGACGATGGCTTGGTGGCTTTTTATTTTTCTGGAGGATGGCCTGCAGAGGGTAAGAACGGTGGCCATTTACTATTGCTTCGCAAGCTGAGATGGAGTAGATTACCCGAGAAGAGTGCGGTCTCCAGATAATCCAAAATGCTGAGGGTCAGATCGGATGACAGCTTTGCGGGCCGCTCCGTTCATTGAAGTTTGAAGAAAGCGGTTTCCCGATTTTGGTGGGAGCTGCGGGGTGTAAGTGGTGATTTGAAGTCGAATGTCTTCATAATGCAGTTTGCACTTGTCAATTCCTCTTCAGTCCTCTCTATCGGCAAGTCCAACGTTACTCATTGTCCCGCAGTCACCTTAGCGACCCGACATGTTATCCAAAAAAAAAAAAAAAAAAAAAAAAAAAAAAAAAAAAAGGGACATTTGTGGCACTTGGTACCTTGATGTCGAATCCAAGACCCCTCAAAGGTCGTGACTTGAACCTGGCTTCACCATTGAATTCAAGGCGAAACTTAGCCAGGAACTCACGTCAACGAGGGTTGGGCAGGCGGGTACCAGACTAGCGAACCGAAGGCTGTCAAGGGAGCACGTTTGCCTCGAAACCGAGACGAGCTTCGTCAACGAAATTTCCTTCAAACCTGCAACAGGATCGTGGCATCAGACATGGGCTCAAAAAAGGTCTGCTGACACTCAGAGACGCAGCAAACGGATTCCCATTACCCCCAGGAAACTGATGACTGGTCGACGACAGGGTGGGTTGGCGGGGGCGGTAATGGTACAAGCGGGCAGGACTCCTTGACGTCGTCGACAAAGCTGTTGGCCCTAGCAAGGGGGGGGGGGGGGGGGGGTGGTGATCTAATAGCGTCCCAGTCTTATCCACTCCGTTCAGCCAAAACATGCCAGCAGCGATCAGGATCAGCTTTTCCCGAGCGCCAGAAACGAACCCCAAGCTCAAGGTGAGGTGTTGGAGAGGAAGAAAAATAAAACTCTGCCAGACCAAAGAAGTCACTGCGAAATTCCGTCCAGCACGTTCCACGTTCCTTGCATTAGCCCCGTTTTCCCCAGCTCCCAGCCCTTCAGGCTTGGTTTAAAGAGGAGCGTCGTGACCAGCCAGTGGGCCCTCCCGAGGCCGCGCTACGGCCGAAAGCGGTAATCTATTAGCAAAACGTTACCCCATCGTTTGCTCCAGAATGGCGTCTTTTCATGGCGAGAATTTGACAACTGGAGGTTTTTGAAGAGTCACGAGGTCCACCTAGCAGCCAAGAAGTGGAGAGGAGGAGAGGGCGAGAGAAAAAAAAAAATCAATCACCACCAGGGCGGATGATGGAAGCTCGCCTTCTGCCGATAGTACCTAGCTGCTCTCTTGCTCTTCCAGGTGCTTGGGGTCCGTTGGGGGTGAATGCGTAGGAATAACAAACAACGCAACGGGCGTTACTCGTTGCTTTTCTGCAACTCTTATCAGTGAGATCGTTGAGCAACCAGAAAGTAGCTAAACTTGGAACTCTCCGTTTGCTTATTGATGATAACACAGAGCTCTTCTGTCCGGTTACCATTCGGATGCACTGCCCAGCAGCTTGCGATATATGGCATGGGTTGGAGAGCTCAGAGCGTGTGCGTTGGTGGTGGTAAAATACCTAGCAACCCGGCGAGGCAGACGGCATATGCAGCATGCCTCCGGCAAAGACCCATGTCTCACACACATCTGACCTTGTCTTGTCATTCACTCACTGCATCACGACATGCATGTTCTTCTCTCTGCCCACTCTTCACACCGGCTCCAACAAGTTGGCAATAGCAAACCTGACCTGGAAAAAAGTGATGGCCAAGGCCAAAGCTACCCATGAGCCTGGACCCAGCCTAGCTAGCGTAGCTCCGCTCCCGTTGTTTCGGGGCCTCGGGGGCCATGCTAATTTTGCACATCCAGATCTTCTCCGCCTCCTCACTTGTGACTTGCTCGAGAGCCGCCCTTTCTCTGACAAAACTTTTCCTAATGTGGGCTCTCCGGTTTTATTCATTTTTATTTTATTTTTCTTTCCTTCTCACACTAAGAAAGAAAAAAGTCTTGCGCATCAGTACGTAGCTACGTACCTACCTGGTGTACCTCTTCCCTCACAAGTGTGAGAGAGCACACCTTGTTCGTTGCGAGTGCAACGCCGTCACTCAGCCCATGGGGCCATGGGAGAGACTTTTGCTTGTCAGGAGGACACTGCAAAGTCCGTGAGACTAGCCCTCCACCACCTCCTACTCTTCCAAGGACAAACCTATAATAACCTTGGCCTCCTCTCGCTGTTTCTCACGAGGATCCCGCCCTCCCATCATTGACTCATCCAAGACACATCTCACACATTCTCGACTGGTCATCCAAGTCCTCATCTCACAGTTCAGACGATACTTCAGTTGACATCCCACTTACACCCATCTCACACAAAATCTCGAAGCGTACAACCACCACCACCACCCAAAACACATACACACACACCAAACACATAAAACCCACCAAGATGCCTTCCCAAATCTTCGTCACCGAGCCTCACCCCACCGTGGCACCAAACACCTACATCTACTCCGGCCGCGGCGGCTTCGGCAACATCCGCAAGGCGCCCCAGGTCCTCACCCCGGCCACCGGCATCACCACGCCCCTCAAGCCCACCGGCAACGGAGACGCAACCCGCCGCTTCTACTCTGGCATCGGCGGCGCCGGCAACCGCCACGAGGCCTCTGAGCGCCTCGTCCGCACCTTTGACGAGGACTTTGACCGCCAGGAGGTTCGCGACCGCGCCGCCGTCGGTCACGTCGGTATCGGCGGCGCCGGCAACGTCACCCGCCGCGTCTCGGACGCTTCCTCCGTCCACAGCGGCGCTTCGGATGAGTCTGCGTCAACTTCTTCGCTCAAGTCTCTCAAGAACCGCGGCGGCAACTTCTGGCGCCGGGTCACCAAGGCTAACTGAGCCGTCTCTGCACACCTCTTTTCTTTTTCATAATCACAACGGCACGGCGTTTTACGGAAACCAAAGAAAAAGCACACACGGGAATGAGTTATCAAGGACATAGCGGAAGCGGCCTCGGAATGGCTTGTATTTTCTGGGGAATGGCATGAGAGCGAGCGCGGCGGGACACAATACCCCCAGATACACCCATCTGGTTGTTCAGCAAAGTAGTACTTGGAGGGACCATTTATTGGTTTCCTCTTGAATATCAATTGTTTCACACTTCATTAATGACTTCAACTACGCTCAACAATGTGACACAATTTCAACTGCCGGGCGATGAGAATCTCAATGGGCTCAATTGCATAATTTGCTTGCGACAAACATCTCTGCTCAGTAATCTTGTTTAACTAACCAAGGCATGCTGGGTCGTAGGACAGTGTGGTTGTCTTGGCTGAATGAGCCTTGGACAAATCGTACCTCAATGGGCAAGAACTATCGCGTACCGACAAGTCATCACAAACCCTTACAGAAGTCCGAAGATGGCAGACCCCCAACATTGCGTCTAAAAAGTTGTACTCATATGTTTTCAACTCGCCCCCACGTGTCCTCCTTGGTAGGTAAGAGCCAACCTTAACCGCCCAACAATGATAACCCCCGGTCTCACATCCACAAACCTCACCTTCGCTCACCCGCTCCAACTCAAGGAGACCAACATCACTCATCACGGCTCTGATCGGCAAACATTGTACATATGAATACAACCACAAGTATCCGTACTCGCCAGCACTATCTCAGCCCCAGTTCCGGGCCCCAACTCCAACCGCAAACCAACATAGAACCGTCGCAGTTCACTTAAACCGGCAGAATCAGAATATCAATGAATACTCATCTCTCACAAACTCATGGAAATCGCACCTGACATCTGACAGAAGCATGTGACGAGACCAGGGAAGCCCACCGAGCAAACACCCAGGGCCCATGGGAAACAACAACAAAGTTATGATAGATAAGACAGAAGAAAAGATGGTCATTGACGCTATTTTGGCTAGACACGGAGATAAGGTTGCGGATAGAAAGACTGTTACGGTCCAAAGGAAAAAAAGAAATGTTTGAATGCCAACGCAACCCCCGGTTCCCGTCGGACGCATGTCAAGCAACCTTACCATAACCAACCATCTGGCCCCAATTCATACGGCAAGCTGCATACGATGGCACGGCAATGCATGTTCAAACGCACAAATTGCATAGCTGATCAAAGAGACAACAGGTTCGGGTATCATTCTCAACTTTCTAGCTGACCATTACCTCATATGCTGCCTTTTGCCTACGACAACGGCTCCGCGAATGCCAATGTCTTTTGAGGGTGGGTAAATCTCAAATCCAGCTAATCGTCGTTCTCTCTCCCCCCCTCTCTCTCTCGCTCCCAACTTCATGATATCTAAACTCCATCTACTCATCCGGTTGTTGCCCCTTTTGTCTTTCGCTAGGCCCAACAGAATGGTGAACACAGCTCTAGATCTATAAACGTCGACGGGAGGGGAGCCAGTAACGCCATCTGGAAACCGCTTCATCGATATGAATTAAAAACAAGAACCGTCTCACGTAAGCTTGGTGTGAATGATTTCCGGGTTCTCATGCCAGTCGTCGATGCTCACCCACATCTATTATAAAAAGGGGTCAGCGTCTGAATAACGCAGTGGACCGAGTCCACATACAACCACGCGAGCAGAATAAAACTTACCTTTCGGAAAGTGCTAAGACCAGCCAAGATACTTCCACCGATCCATGTCGAGTACTTGCGTTCTGGCGGCGCGAAAATCTTTATCCTCATGTCCTTGACGGCCAATCGTTGCAGCTCCGTCAACAGACGGTCACCGAAGCCCCGGGTCAATGTGCTGCCGCCAGAGAGCACGATGTTGCTGTAGAGAGACTTGCGCAGGTCGAGGTCCGTCCTGTTGATGGCGTCGACGACAATTTGGTGCACACCAGGGTACTCGAGGCCAATGATTTCGGGGTCGAAGAGGATTTCCGGTGCCCTGAACCGTTCCGCACCGATCTGTACACATAGTCAGCTCACCTATTCTTGCCCTCATCAATCACGAGAAACCGACCTTGAGCTTGTGCCCGTCCGGGAGAACGTATTCCACGCCCTTGGCCGGGTCTGTCCTGTTTGCCCATTCCTTCTCCTCTTTCCTGGGGTCATGGGCGACGTAAGTGACAGACTCCTTGATGAGCCGCACAACCTCCTTCTCGGCGCTGGTGTGAAAGACGTAGCCGCTCTTCCGCAGCAACATTTGCATGTACTCGGTCACATCGCGTCCGGCCACGTCTATCCGCCTGATGCTGCTCGGCATGGCGAAACCCTCGTACACCGGCACCGCGTGTGACACTCCGTCGCCTGAGTCGAGAACGATACCGGTCGTCCGACCGCTGGCGTATAATGAAAGAACGGCTTGGATTGATGTGTACAGTGCCGGAACGTTGAAAGTCTCGAAGAGGATCTGGGCCGCTGTATCGCGGTTGCTGCGAGGGTTGAGGGGTGGTTCGGTCAGGAGAACGGGATGCTTTGGGCGGGGGTTAGTATCAGAAGTAGGTACGGTGCGTCTCGCAAATCAAACGAGACATTATCTGTGCCAAACGAACCTCTTCACTGAGCGTCTTGAGGCCTTCGCCATAGACGTATTCCCAAATCTTCTCCATGTCGTCCCAGTCCGTGACGATGCCGTGCTCCAGCGGATACCTGATCTTGAGCAGGCCTCTGAGCTCCGTTGCCGCCTTCTGCCCGATAAACACCTCACCCTCGAGCGCGCCGGCGAGAACTCTCAGGTGCTTGGGCCGACCGACGAACGAAGGGAAGTAGCATTTGGGCAGGTCATCGCCTGCGAAACCGGCGCGGATCGTACCGGAGCCATTGTCCAGGACGATTGGCGCGTTGTGCAATGAATCCGTCATCTTGTGAGATACATCCAAGAACTCAGAACAAACGAGTATCGGTTGTATACACCTCGAGCCCTTTAGCCCTCACGGTTCCCCTGGTGCTGGTCGTTTCGTTTCGTTTTCGCGGCGGAACCCCTTTGTTTGTTGGTCGAGCGGTGACTGCAAGTGGGGGCGGTTCGATGCCAGATGGCTCGATGGCAGTCAACAGAAAGCCGTACTCGAGCTTGATGACAGGTCGGTGGCACCTGACTGTCAGGTATTGTCGCAGGATCGTGGTCGCAGTTGCTTGCCTTGGGAGGTGGTGGTGTTGTCAAAATGGTCAAAAGTGGCAGCTTCAACACGACGCGGTAGCAGTCCGGGGAGCTGCATGGGCGCGAATGAGGGACTAGGACAAAAGTGGAGTAGCGCAATCCGGAGCTTTCGTGCACGGGCCTCTCAGGGTCTCTTGTAAGTTGTAAGTGAAGTCAATGTAGAACTTGGGACGACGCAGAATCCAAAGTTTTCATCGCACTTGTAAGATCACTGAAATGAGTCTGTTGTTTCTTGAGCTGAAACTTATTTCACGACGAGATTTAATATTCGTTTTTCATTTGAACAAAGTGAGCTATGTATGGTCCGTATGGACTTCTACTGATGCTTTAGGTATCCAAGAAGCCCCCCCCGAACGCCTTCAGATGCTTGAGATATGTATTGGTATCTCCTAAATATCCCAAATTTCCAAATGTAACTTCCAACTCCTTATTTCGTTGTTGCCAAGCATTCCTTTATGGGAATGAATTAACTAAGCGGCTGCTTACATGTGGCCGTCGACAAGCAGCATGCTAGCGTAGGGCCAACCGAGAATGCCGAAAGCAAGAGGGAAGAACCTGTTTAATGCAGTGTTAGTCACTGTTGTCACTCGCACAATCAAAGGCTGTGATGGCTTCTTACATTGCTGCGGTGACGGCACGCTTCTTAATCATGGCACCGTAGTAGGGCTTGGCGTGAACACCAGTCTGGGACATCCTCTGGAAGGGATGGGGCTCGAAGGAGCGGGCGACGTTGCGCATGTTGTGGAGGAGAGTGAATTGTCTGCGCTGGACGGCGAAGCGAGCAGCGTTGCGGGCGGCGAATGCGGGAGACATTTTGAGTGATGACTGAAGGGTTGGTTTTTTTGGTATTAAGTCAAGAGACTTCTGTTGCTTTGATGGAGAGGAGTGAGGTGGAATGTAATACACTCGTACAAAAGATGTAGTGGAGAGTTTGTTTGGTGGTTGAGTTGAGACTCTGTTTGATGTTGTTGACGTGTGATGATGATGAGAACGGGAATGGGAACACAACAGACGGGAAGCTGCTTCGGATCTTATACCAAGGAAAAGATTGTGCCTCCAACCCGCATACCTACGAGATCTGTGAATCTTGACAAAGGACTCCGGGATTTCCAACGGCAAACGCCTATTGTGGGCAGATGGGCGGGCAGCTTTGCCCGTAAGATTGCCGTGCCTGGGCGGGAACGAACGAGGCTTCTAATCTGGGCCGGGTCAAGATCATGCCATCCCATCTTCTAAACGGATCCCCCAAAAGCCAGGGCCAAGGGTTTGGGTTTCTGCAGCACCAAAAAAAAGGTGTGAATCACGAAAGACAACTATGTCTCACCCAATAGACGCAGCCGCGAAAGGGGCGCTTGGTAACGTGGTTTGCAAAGCCCGAGTTGGGTAGACCCATTTGGATTCCAGCCGTTGGCAATCAAGAAAAAAAAAACTGACGTTGGGCGATCGTGCGTTTTCAGATGGTTTCCTGACGACTGCCAACAGTAAATGGGGTGATGTGGTCTGACGGGAGACACCGAGTACGAGCGCTGATTGGGCAGAAGCGGGGCGAGGAATCCTGTGCCAATGATATGATCGCCATTTCCTTCAGCTATCGAACCACAGGCCCCGACCGGCTGGGTGCGCTGACGAGGGTGAATCCGGGGAAAGATTGACAGATGCCTTGCTTCCGAGTCGACAAACTTGTGTCCTTCAGATCCCGAGAAGAGCAGATCGCAACCTTGAGATGAACAATCATGACCCAAAGAAGGTAACTCGTGAGACAGCTGCTTGTGTTCTACATATGAGCAGAACTTGTTGCAGATACGTACCTTAACAGAGGCTCAGTGTCCGACTTAGGTAAGCCAGCCAGTTGATGAATCTGGGGTTTGTTATCAGACCCTTCACAGCTTATCGCCATGTGACCCGGTCGGATCCGGATGCACGGTACTCGCGCCTCGACGCGCCCGTTCCGGAATTTTTCCAGAGCCGTGGCCTTCCGGGTACCCGTTCACGAGATCAACCCGCACCTTACCTCAGCTTCCGACCGAACGACAGGAGACTGGGCCTCCGAACCCGTCCGAATACATCGCCTCATTCCTCTACCCACACCATGCCACTGGTCGACCCCATGACGATGTCAGCACCATCATCATCAAAGGCCGCCTCCGACGCGGGCAAGCCAAAGGACAGCGGATTGCATCCCGTCCACGGCCTAGCGAGCCCTGCCGCGCAGGTCGTCAGACATCTCCAGCCGGTGCTCATCTCCGGCCTCTTCCTCGCGCAGTTCAGCTCCCTGGTGGCAGACCCCGTGCGAACCCTCCAAAACTCGCTCCCAATCGTCGTCGCGATCCAGGTCGTCTACGCCTTTGTCAGTCTGCCGGCCGCTGGATCGCAAAGCGTGAAGCCGTCGAGGAAGCCTCGGCCGGGCGAAAAGAAGAAGGCGGTTGAGAGCACGGGGCCCAATATCTTCATTGTAAGTCACAGGTTCAGTCAAATCGTGAGGCCATAGCTAAGAATGGGAATCCTTTCAGGCTCTATTCCTGTCCCTACTCCTCGCTATCATCACCACGCCAGCCATCCATATCGTCCTCGTCCTCTTCGGCGCCCCCTTCCAGACCCACCTGCCGCATACCCTCTTCTGCTCCGCCAATGTCGCCGTTCTCTCGTTCTTCCCGCTCTTCTACGTTCACGGAGTCGATGGGAGCACCTGGGCTGCTCTCGCCAGCGCGGCGGCACCAATGGACGAACCATACGGTGGGCTCGTAGGAGGTGTGTTGGGCGCGTGGCTCGGCGCAGTGCCCATTCCGCTCGACTGGGACCGCGAGTGGCAGAAGTGGCCCGTCACGATTGTCTGCGGCCTCTACGGCGGATACATCTTGGGCAAGACGATTGGTGGCACATTGGCATTTGGCAGGAAAATGGCTTCCTCCGCCAACGAAGACGAATGAACTACTTGGGCGCTTAAAGCCAAGTCCAACCTACAATTTTTTTTTCTTAACAGGTCGTAGACGGCATAGTTCGCGGGAATACGGCACCGCTTGTGCAAGCAGCCGTTCGGCGACAGTACGGACCTCGCGGCTTTGGTCTATATTCCAAGCCATTTGTGTCATGCCCAATGCTAAACCAACACTGGCCGGTGGTTAGTAGCCTCAGACATGCATGTCTAGGCAGTTTAGGATTGCCTATGACAACTAGTCCAATGCTGTTGGCCAGACCTGGCTTTCGTGGGGAAGCTGATGTACAGTAGCTAGAGGCGATTGCCAATGAGGTAGCTTGGCCCGTCCGAAACAAGAAATAAACATGTTAATAATAGCCTCGGATCTGGGAATTCAACGAAAACGCGAATGTGACGCTACATCATCGCCCCCTTGAGCCTCAAGCGTGCGCAAGTGTGGCGTTCGTTGCGACGAAATCGCAAAGTTGACCAAGGCACGCAATATCCGTCGTGGCACACCTCACAGTTACCAGCCACAGCTGGCCTTGCCGCAAGCTGCCGATCATGCCCAGCCCTACGAGCTCGGAGCGAGGGCGAGATTGAGAATTTTGACGTCTTTTCGCCGCCCACGTTGACTATTCCCCGTTGCAGAGCGGAGACAGGCCGCGTCTCCTCCCTAGCCCTGCGAGCTGCCGAACCGGCTTGGCCCTCTTGCCGCCGGGCATGACCGGGCCCCTTGCGTCATAAGTCACGAGGGCGTTGGGTTTCATTGGTGAGACATGACTGACAGCTTTTCGTGTGCCGTCCAGGGAGAAGAAGGAGAATTAGGACGAATGAAGAAAAGGAAATCTTCAGGTGGAGGAGAAGGACCACTTGGATCGCCAGTGCGTTGCGTCCTTCTCCGCAGCGAGCGCGGACGGACCGATGTCCGCTGGAGAAGAGAGTAGCATCAACCTTTGACTTCCTCAGTTGTTGGGGGCCTCGACATGGACAAGACAGGCAGACCCTGGAGTTAAACTGTGGCTTAGTCGTCACTGTTGCGCCATAGATCAGCTTTCGAGATGTGGCGTTTGTGGCTCATGACACGCACCTTGAGGCTTGAGTGCTTGACAGATGCATGGGAGGTCCCCTGACCTGCTCGGAGCTGTTTTGACTGGATGACGACGGGTGGAGCCATGAGCAAAAGGAGCAAAATTAAGAAGAGCGGACCCCACCAGCGCGGCGCTAGCAAGGGCTCGGTTGATGACGTAGCACCCACCTTTATCGCGTCCACCGAAAAGAGTTCACCCAGCCAAGATGCAGAGGTACATGAGGAAGCAAGCATAGGAATTAAGCAGGAATTAACTGTGCAAGTTGCTTGACAATGTCGCCGGACTAACCGCACAGGGCCCCTCAATGACGGCGGGAAGGGCTGGGCAAGAGGGATGGAAGGACGCGCAATAGGGCTCGAATCAGTAAGGACAGATCGGGAACCGAGGCCACCGTGATTGAAGACGATCAAGCGAACAGCGCGAGAGTGCAAAGAGGGAACCTCACAAGGGACGTAAGGTAGGGGAGATCTCAGATGTTTGCTGTGGATGGAAGCGAGCTTCGGAGGCCGGGCAGGCATCAATCCTCGTCAATGGAATTCGAGAAACCTGGCAGTGTGCACTGAGAGGCCCGGTGTAGCGACAAAGGCATGACAGGCAGCAGGAAGGCCCATATGCCGTGTGTCCCAGTGCAGATGCAGAAAGAGTATCCGGTACGGTGATACGTTGTAAGGGGCTCACGTCTGGTCCGCTCGGGTGCTTGTTTCCGCAGGAAGGAGAGCCTGCAGCAGTGCAGAGGAGCAGGCCGGGGGAGGAAAAGAGACAAGGTCATTGCTAAAGTGGGCGGAGGTGTGGCTTGTCCGCAACGCACGGCAAGAAGCCATCCCATCTTTTCCCCCTTCTCTCAAGGCGTAAAAGGCCTGGCCAGAGGCCCAGAGCTTGCAGTTCGTGTGGCCGTGTGCTGGTCCTGCCGCTTGTGCCTTATTTCCCTTGCCGCTGCAAACCGGGAATGAGTCGATGACGCAAGTCCTCTCTCATACCACACCCCCAAGCCTTTCGCGGCACGACCAGACGCTCTTGTTGCTTGTTGGCTCGTCTTGGGAGGCTGCGCTTGGGTACTTTGGAGGGGGAAGACATGTCTGCCGGGCCTCACTGGCCTGCCACCTGCGACTGGCTTGTCCCTTGTCAGACGTATCCGTAAGGTAAAGGTAAGGTCAGGTTGGTACTGAGTACGAAGTAGAGCGGGAAGGGGTGGCCCATGCAAGTCCACATCACATCACTGTGAGCTCGTCCTTGCCTTTTTTTATTTTTCCTGCGTTGGGCTGTGGCTTCCCAGTTGGCAGTTGCTCTCATTCCTGCTATTTAATCATCTCTTCCCCAACCCACTTACCACCCAATTCCCCTCCCCTCATCAACCAACGAACCTACATTCGACATCAACCATCAGATCTTCAAGATCTCGTAACGAACTATCCTACACAAACACACAAACACTGTTTCACAACACCACTCATCTATCAACATGCCTTTCACCGCCTCCGATATCTGCAAGATCATTCTTGCCGTCATCCTCCCGCCCGTTGGTGTCTTCCTTGAACGTGGCTGCGGTGCCGACTTCTTCATCAACATTCTGTTGACCATTCTTGGTAAGCTCAACTGTCTTTCAGACGCTCTGGACTCAACTAACAAAAGCAGGTTACCTTCCTGGTATCATCCACGCTCTGTATATCATCCTGAAGTACTAAGCGAATCGTCGCTGCAATTCTCCGATCGTAACCGCCTACACGAGAGAGCATGACGATGTTCAACAACGAAAGCGACATGAACTCTTCTCGCAAGGATGTGCAATTACGCCTTCCCAACGAGTGCGACACTGTAGGCGGTGGCCGGGCATTCCAGCGACCTTGGCTTTCCGTCTCATCCGGCAATGCTGGGGGATCCTCCTGCGTCAGCTGCAAGGATGCTTGCTGCTCTGCAGGGTTGGCCTATTACCCCTACCTCACCAACCTCCACCACTGTTTTTTACGACAACGACACAGCAACGGCCTCTTTTCATAACTCCTGGCGGTACCAATCTATGGACTTTGTCACGTTACTTCTCACCTTGCGGAATGCGACTTTTCAAAACGATTTGTTTTGGGCAGGCATTCAGGACGAGGAAGTGGAGGGGGGATTCGCGCTGTGTGTAGCATGCTTAATTCGATACCCGACATATCAATCTCTTCAAACTATTTCACTACAAAACCTCGACTGTGGTCTTACTCTCCATACGTGCATTGTGATGTGAATTCATACTTCCGACCATGCCGCAGCCTGCCGAACACGGTCAGCTGCGCTCAATACGCGGTTGGACGTTCCCGCTAAACCACTAAACCATTGGCGTAGATCCATGTGATGTCATGCTTGCCGCATTGAAACAGTCACAACTTAGGTCCAGAAAGATTCTATATCACCGTCAGAAACATCCGACTTTGCGACGCTACTTTGGAGCTTATTTCCTTTGCGATGACTGCGCTCAGATGGGTTTGTGAGTGCAAAATAACCTTGTTTCTGTCACATTGAACTTAGCCCAAGCAAGGGAAGTAAGCAAGCCAATGGCCCCCAAATTGCTGCTGATCCGCCCTGTTGCTCGCAGTCTGCCTCGCGGGCATTCCGTACGGTATTACGGGATACAGCAGGACGTTCACTTGCAACATGGGAAACCGCCAGCGCAGCGGGAGCCGAGGGACGCGTATGCAACTCGGACGTAGAATAGCTCGGCACTGCGGGTACGGTGTACCTTTGGGAATCGGCGCGAAGCCAAAAGCGTCCGGGGCCAGTGGCTTGGATTTTGGGAAGAAGAGCTCCGCTGCCCGAGCTCCATTGTGGCTGGCTGGCAGCAAGCGCCGCTGCGCCGGTGGGACAGGGGGACCGCCCTCGCTACGAGGCCTGTATCCCTGTCTGTTAGTTTAATTGCATTTTTGGTAGGCGCAGACCGCAACCCGTGGTCACTGGTAAGGGCGGAATCGAAAGAGGAAAAAAAAAGAAAGAAAAAAAAGAGAAAACGAGATCTCGCGGGTATGGCCGCGAAGCGCGAATGCGAAAAATAGAGGTAGAGCAGAACATCACAAGAGGGAACACGATCCACATCGCAATGACTCGAGTCCAAAATAGTGCTTCACGATTTCTACTGCCAACGGCAGTCCTGAGCTTTTTGAAATTTCTTTATTTAATTCTTTTTCGAGGCCCACCTTGAATGGTCCCCTTGGCCCCAGGTGATCGCTCTCGCCTTGCTGGGCTAGGGGGGCGGTTATTCCGAAGTACCCGCCTCCCAACTCTATATGGAGCTTTTTTAACGATTTGCGATGAACCCCCTTCCATCTTTCCAAAGGGGTGCCCGGTCACGGGGAATCACAAATGTCACTGGGTACTTCCCAGTTTATGCGGTTGCGATGGGAATGAGGCAGGCACTCTGTTGGACAACGCAGAGATAGCCGCGACTCTTCATCAAGCTCTTCCGACCTTGAACGACAAGATCTGTGTGTGAAGATGACGTTAGCCTAAATGGTGCCGAGGAGACCCGTATGCGTGAGTATCACAAAAGAGGGGATGACACTTACATCGTTCTTTCCAACTGTGACGAGGTGGTCTTCCGCGACTCTTAGGCCGCCAACGCCCTCAATATACGCAATGGGCGCGTCGCCCATAACCTTGCGCGCCGCCTCGCCGACCGTGGTGCCCTTCTTGACTAGCACGCAGTCCCGGAAGACAAACTTGGACTCGGCAGCGCCGGAGGAGAAGGAGGTGGTGTTGCGCACCGGGAACACCGGGACGAGGCCCAGGATCTCGGCCGCCTTGGAGAGCACCTGCACCACGCCCGTCGACCCGAAGCGGTAGAGCACCATGTCCTTGAGGTTCTCTATCCGGTTGCGGTTCTTCTCGTCCAGCTCCTTGAGCCCCCCGCCCGTCGGGTCCCCTTGCTCGATTAGGTCCTCCCGCGTGTCGACGAACTCGCTGCCTTCCGTGTACTGGACGTACCCTTGCTTAGCCATCTTGCGCAGGAAAATCTCCGAAATGGCGGAGCACAGCACGATGGTGTTGGGGTCTTGCATCTTTGCGATTTTGGCAATGTTCTTATCGGCGTCCGGATGGTCAATCTTGTTGAGCGCGATGACGGTCGGGAACTTTTCGTCTGTAAAGGCGTTGACGACGCGGTCAATCGTCTCGGCGTCCCAGTCCTCGAGCGGCTCCTTGATACCCAACCGATCCAGCGCCCGCGCGACAACGTTGGAGGTACTGCCGTATCCCGAAAACTGGCCCTGTAGCGTATCGACGGCCGTCGCCTTGATCGCCATGTGCCGCCGCCGAATCGACCCCCACTTCTCCATCAGATTCCCGCGGATCCAGGCCACGATCTCGCCGCGCAGCCAGGCGATGTCGACCGACGGGTCGTAGCCGCGCGTCTCTTTGCCCTCGGCGTCGACGGTGCCCGAGGCGTCCACCACGTGTATCAGCGCGTCGGCGTGCCGCAGGTCGTCGAGGAACTTGTTGCCAAGGCCTTTGCCCTGGTGCGCCCCGGGGACGAGGCCGGCGACGTCGAGGAGCTCGATGGGAACGGAGCGGCGGCCTTCGATGCAGGCGCCGTAGTTGGGTCGGCAGCGGTCCGAGACGCCGTGGCGCGCGCAGGCGCATTCTATTTGGAGGTAACCAATTGCTCTTTGGGGATCGATTGTCGTGAAGCTGTGGAGAAGAGCGCGCGAGAGGGCTGAGTGTTAGTGCAAGATGCTGGGTATAAGTTGTTGCGAACAACCGCGATCATAGGACGGAGACGGCCAGGAACAGGGAGAAGAGGCAGGGCGTACGGGAAGTTTCCTGTTATCACGATATATCCATCAGCGACCAGGTCGGTGGGCGTCGGGTTTTCTTTTTCTCTCTCTCTCTCTCTCGGTCGAATGGATTTGGAGGTTTACGGACCAACTTTTGACGAGGCGTCTGTGAGACTGTTGAGCGTCGTGCTCTTGCCGGCCGACGGCTTGCCGACTAGACCAATGAGCGGATCTCGAGGCATCTTGTCGGTAATGTGAGGTAAGGTAAGGGAAGCGGAGGGCGAAAGAAAGGGACTGCGAGTCTCCGTCTGCAAACTGATTATACGCTTGGTCCCTCGCCGGTCTCGCGGTGGGTGGGCTCAAAAGTCGTTCGAGGGGTAATAAGTTTGCGAAAGGGCGTTGCGCACACAATCTTATCTTTATCGCCGAAACCTCGATAATGCAATGAGGGGCAGTCCCGGTTGTCGGCGATAAGTCTTATCGGGCGGAAAATGACGTAGGCGTTAAACCGGGCATCGACCGACCCATGGGCTCCGTCGGAGACAACACCTACCATACTTAGAATTGATCGTGTGACCCTCACGACGTATCATTTTTATCCATTGTGCATCGATTAAACATGATTCAGGTCAAAAGTTCCTAGATGACACCAAAGTTCGTCAAACCTGCTCGCAGATCACAGCTGTCACCGTAGATGAGCCGGAAGCCGACTCTGCTCTCTCAGCCAGTTCCTGAATACGCATCCAGATGGCCTTCATCCGGTACGGATACCAATGAAGGAATAATTCACAATTTATAGTCTATGACCCAGCGGTACGATTCTATCGTATGTTGGCTCACGGTCCTACATAATGCCATGGATAGCTCGTTTTTTGTCCCCCTCGTAGAGCTCACGAGTTCGAGTTGACTGTGCTCTTTCTTTTTTTCACCAACACTTCAGGTACATGCTCAAATCTGCATTCTGAGCGGTCAAATCCTTTCAAAAAGGGACAACATCAGTCCCGAATTATAGACTCGGAATATTTCACTTTGAATCATTCTCGGCTTTCATCATTCTCGCCAGGTCAACTTCTCCTCGCAAGCAAACAAGAAGGTGACCTCACGCAACAAGAAAGTACCTAAAACTTCTTATACTTGCCATCGACAAACGTAACCGTAGAAGGCAAATCCCGCGCACCCTCGGCGAGCTCCAAGTAAAACGTCCCATTCGACTCAGGTCCAGGCGTGTCCCCAACAAAACTACCATCCTCCTTCCTCTCATCAGCGTAAAAGAACCTCCACCCCTTGGACGACTTATATAATCCATCAGCAACATTGACCCAATACCACGCCGCATTCTTGCCAACCCCGAGCGTGACATACTCCGCCAACGGCAAAATCGTCTCGTTCAAAAAGTTGCCCGTGTAAATAAACCTCCCCTTCTTCGCCTCCTCCTCCTCCCCATCACCACCAGCCTCATTCCACCCCCTGACAGCCTCCCCGGCAGCAACCCACGCAGAGGTATTCATCACCGTCCCATCCCTCTCGTACGCCTCGCGCGACAGACTAAACATATTGTCCGCGTCGGGCGGCGAGCTCACGGTAGCGGCGTTGTAGACCACCACGCGCGGCGCCCGTCCGCCGAAATGGCGCTTTGTTTCGGCGAAGGCTGAGACGACCTGTGCCGGGTCGGCGAGGTCGGCGCGGATGCGGAGGTGGCCTGTTTCTGGGTCGGTTGTGGCGGTGGGCCCGCCTTCGGGGGGGAAGCTGCGGGAGACGAGAGCGATGGCGTAGCCTGCGGTGGAGAAGCGGGATGCTACGCCGGCGGCGATGTTGCGGCCTGCGCCGAGGATGAGGAGGATTGGTTTGTCGGACATTGTTGGATTTCTTTGAAAAGTCGATGTGAATATGAATTCTAGGTTGATGGAGGAAGAGGGCGGAGGATGTTTGTGTTATTTGAGATCTGATGCTGGATGAGGTTCCCAGCTCTTCATCTTCGAGGCCATCCGATGCCTATTCCTTTTATATATTATTTCCCTTCTGCCAATTCCTCACGACTCGCTCGAAATGTGTCACTCTTTTACCGGCTTACGCATTACGCGTAGAGATCACCACTATAGTATCCGCACGCAGTCCTTGTATAGACGACATTACAAACGTTACCATCACTAGGGGCGTAGCCAGTAAGGCGTACGAGTATACGCATTGCTCTATACGGATACCTCCATCCAAGGTTAACCACGTTTACCTTTACCTGAGATGGAGATTTCCATAGAGGGATTGATAATTACCCGCGCGGGCTAGATCGTCGATTAGGCAGCCGCGCATTGTTAACGTTTACCGAATTTCCAAAGCACTCTAATTCAAGCACAGTCCAAGTTTTCCGACCCATCCAGTCGGACAAACACAAAAGTACCGGGTATCGATTCCCCCATCATCGTATCTTCCAGACATGTCTCCCTCTTCACTTACCTCGACACCCTGGTGCCCTTCAGATATGTACGGAGTCTTCCGTGAAGATGGCGTGAGCTTTATTAATCCCTCCACCATAGCCCACCGCAGCCCTGTTGTCATGATGGCTAAATAATCGTAAACGGCATGCCCAGACTTTGTAGAGTCAACCAGTCCACTTGTCAACAACGTCTCTTGCCCAATTTCTATCGGATCGGTTTCCATCGAGTTTCAGTCTCTCCTCTACCCCTAACTCATGTTTAGAGAACGGAGCCGCTTAATGCTGTTCAACTTCACTGTCCCTTTATCTGGGAATGCACTTCACATCGTTGGATCAAAATCATCAGGGCGAAGTAGAGGTTCCATTATCCACGACTACTATTACAGTCAAAACCCCTAATGGTATCTGCCATGCGTCACGGCTGCTCTTCAAAAAAAGGAAAAAAAAAACACAGCAGCCCAATATCGAGAATGTGGTATCAACCAACTGTGTCGCGCGTTCCAAACCTATTCCATGCCGTCTTCCTTTGGCACTGCCTCAACTCAACATGCTCAATTGAGGCCATGCTGTGCTGTTGTTCCATCCCCCCTCCTCGACCTTGAAAACATCGCTCAAACGCAAAAGCCATCAATTGCGTGTCATGTCGTCGTTAGGCTGAGTAGCGAACCAAATCCACCCCGTCATCCCCTTCCGCTTCATCCCTGCGGCTGTACAACTTTCCCCTCCTTTTTGGTTGGTTGCCGCTGCATCTCTATAGCAGATGAAAGAATCTGCTTCCAATATGTTCAATGATTATAGCTGATCATGTGGTTCAAGCTATCCAGTAGCATCAACTCATGTGGTAGTGCTTGTTTTGTTTGTTGTACGCAAACGATTCTCTGTAGCGAGGATTCTCTTTTTTGTCTAAAAGGTATCGGTCTCGTTGCTAGCGACAGTGCCAAAGGTGTCTAGGTAGTCAATTAGCTTGTGGATCGAATTGCTGTTGACAGAGCGTGCTCACCTCTCTTGCGACGTCGCTCTTCTCTGGCGGCTTCTTCCTCCGCACTCTTGGGGGTCATGGCCCGGGGCCCGGAAGGCCTACGCGCAGGCATGCCACGGGCACCGCTGAGGTTGCGGTTCTCCGGCTTCGGGCTGCCGGTGTAGTTGCTAGTACTGGCGGCATGTGTGCCAGGGCCGGTACCGTAGCCACTCTCAACACTGTTGTAAGGAAGGGGACTGCTCTTCAAGGCCAAGTTGGAGATGCGCTTCTTGGCGGGCGTGTGGGTCATCTCATCCATGGGCTCCTTAGGCGGCCTGGGCGGGCCGGCGGGGGAGGAGGTATAGTAGTCACCACCCGTCGCGGGGGAGCCATTGCTATTGCTATAGCTATTGGCATTTGGGGGGAAGCGGTGCAAGCTAGTGGCCGAGCCTGCCCAGTCTGCAGATCTGGGGGACATTGGTGTGTCGTAGTCGTATGCTTGGCTTTCGAGGTTAGCCTTGAACCTCTCAGTTTGTCCTTGACGAGGCTGGGGGTGTTGAAGATTGACCGAGTTGCGGTGCGCCTTGTACTTAGGGTCCTCCGGGGTCATGTAGGTGGTAGGAGGCTCTAGGTGCAGGGGTTGAGGAGCTGCGAGATCCTGCTGGGAGAAACCAGAGTGCAGTTGGTCACTGCCACCAAATTCATTCTGGTATCGGTCATCGTATCGGAGATCTGATCCAGATCGGGACGGAGGGTGTTGCAGGAATTCGTCATCGTGTTCCTTCTTACTCGAGCCGCTGCCACGGAAAGCCTTGCTCACGCTTGTAGCCGTCGACTCAGACCACCGAGAAATCTTGGGGAACCAACTCGATGATCCTCTCTTGTGCTTCTTGCCCTTGTCCGTCTTTGGGGTGTTTTCATTGCTCAACGATGCGTTCTGAGCGGCCATGGGCTGGGGAGGGGTGCCCAAGGGCACGGAACCGCCACGCTGGAACTCGCGGGTCGGCGTAAGCATACCCTGTGGCTCATGGTAATTGTTCTGGGAGATGTAATCCTCCTCATTATCTTCGTGGACGGTGCTGATACGGTTGGGTTCGTAGGCCATCTTGGAAGGGCCGCGAGATTGAGCAAATGATGACATCCCAGAGTGACTGCCCTGGCTAGTACTGGAGGTGCCAGCCTGACCTTCGGGCTCGTAGCCCCGATCTTGCTCATACTGCATCTCCGGGGTGAGGTTCTCGTAAGATGGCCGGCCGCTAACCATGCCGGGTCTCATGGTCTGTGCTTTGAGTGTATCAACCTCACCCAGTAGCTGCATGAGCATATCCTCGATTCTGCTGAGATCGTTGGCGCCCTTGTTGCCGAGGCCCTTGAGCGCCTTGCGGAAGAAGTTGGTCTTCTTGGCGGTATCATCGAGGGTGCTGTTCTGAGAGGCAGCGCTGTAGCCTTTGATAGAGCGAGGAAGACTACCGGGGTAAGCACGGGAACCGGCGACGGCGTTCTTGACCGTTTCGTCAGTATTCTCCTGAACCTCCTTGATGATAACGTCCTCGGTGTTGGCTAGAAGTTTCTTGAGGTCATCAAAAGAGTTGCGCATTTCAGCCGCAGAGCGGACCAGCGTGACGAGAATCTCCGTGTCACGAGCGCTTCGTTGAGCATCGCGGACCATGAGCTGAGGTATGTTAGCCATTTCCTTGTCAATTTCATACTAAGCTACTCACATGTTGCATCAAAGCAATAATGTCCTTGGATTCGATTCTGTCGATACCGTTGCCAGTGGCAGCATCATACAGCGGCGAGTTCATGCCCTGGGAAAGACCACTCAGGTGCCGTGAGTGTTGAGGTGCGTAGAAAGGGTCTTCCGTGTTCATATCGCCAAAGGGCATCATGGCCTTGCTAGTGGGCTGCATATTGGGCGAGTGAATGGGACCTTGTGAGATGTAACCCTCATCTAGATTCTTGTGCCCACCCGGACTGTTCGCGTGGTACCCAGCAGCATAGTCTTCGAATCCTCTGCCACCGAGTAGGTCCGGGTGATCAACGGGGCTCGCGCCATCATAAGGATTCGTAATGACGGTATCACGCTTTCGCTCAGCCGACGTGCGCCGCCACTCGTCCTCATGCTCTCCACTTGCTTGTCGATGGTGGGCCATGGCTGCACCAGCGGCGGCACCCATGGCGGCACCGGCAGCGGCCATCCCATAACCACCGTGACCGCGCGGGCTGTGCTTTTCCGAGTTGTACTCCTCGAAAGATTGGTCGTAGTCGCTCTGGCGGGGCGTGCCTTGGCGAGGGGTGATGTCGCCCGGCCAGTGGTCCCCATCGTTGTGGTCGCTGCCCCCGAGCGGCTCGCGGACCAGCGACGGGTTGGTCAGAGCATCGTCGTCCACGTAGCCAACCTCGGGCATTGGATCGTCAAAGGTCGGCATGGCACTAGCACCCATCTTGGGCTTGTCCTCAAGGTCAAGACGGTCAACACTGTGCGCCGGGGTGTTTGCAGGCTCGCGGCCCTCCATCGCTCGCTGCTTGAAAGACTTGTTCCTCGTGACGCCTTCAGGAATCCATTCTTCAGCATGCTCCTCGTCAACCTCCTCCACGGTCGGTTGCTTCGTCTTGTCCTTGGCAGCCTTGAGAGCAGCAGCTGCTGCACCGACAGCTCCCGCGGCAATTGCCTTTTCAGAGGCAGTGGGTGAGTGCCGTGTAGACGTAGAAGGTGAGTTCCTGTACCTAGCAGGAGCAACCTTTCTTCCATACTCGTCAAGGTCGTACTCTCCAGCAAACTCTCTTGATCGGTGGCTCTGGCGGCTCGAAGTCGGGGTGCGGCTGCTCTCGCGCTCACGTTGCTCGAAGAATTCCCGCTGGGAGGCAACAGATCGCTTTTCTGGGCTGACGTCCCGCGAACGGGGCTGAATGTTGGACTGGTCATCGTAGGAGACATTGGAGTCTTTGGCGTACGAAACGTACGAGTCCGGTCCATACGAAACATTGGATTCGTTGCCGTACGATACCTGGGAGTCCCTATAGTCGTATCCGGAACCCGTGGTGAGTTGAGACTCGAGCATTGAGCCGTCAACGAGTGAAGCTACATTGGACTCGACCCCATTTGGCACATGGATGATGTTAGGGTTCGCAGCAATACCGCGAACGGCCTGGCCGGTCGAAGTTCCGATTTCGCTGCCCTCCGTGTACTGACTATTACGGTAGTCTTGCCCGCTGCTTCTGACGCTGCGATCATCCACGGACTGCTCATCGAAGCCCCGACTCATCACATTGCTTGGCACTGAAGCTGGAGAGAAGGCTCTCAGATCGGTGTGAGACGCTTGAGACTTGGTAGGCGACGCGGTCCCATGCGACATCCTAGAGTCACGCTGGGCAGCCGTTTCGCTACCAGCCTCCGTGTAGCCGGACACACTGTAGATCGGGCTCAGCCCACGCCGCTCTGGTTGATAAGGAACATATTTCAACGGGGGCGGCACATCCTGCGTGTTGTAGTAGTCGTAATCGCCAGAGTCCACGTAGTCGGCTTCGCTCTCCGTAAGACGGCTTCGATCATCGTAGTCGTCATATTCATCGCGGATTTGTGAAGAAGGGCTTTGGCTGATCTCCGATAACTCGCTCTGCTCCAAGAAATCTCCCGTCCGTGTCCGAGAGAGTTCTCTCAAATCGCCATGAGAAATATTGGCGTGCTTCGTGCCTAGAGTCTGCTGCAAATTGGTTATTGGTGCTGGTTGCGTTGGCGTAGGCGAGGAGCCGAGGGAGGCGTTGCCCCGGGCAATCTCCTGGACAGAAGCTCTCTCCTCCATGGCGGAATGGGGCCGATCGGTATCAGCCGAAAGAATTGAGGTTCGCGTCATTTCGGAGGGATTGATCTCGCTCATTAACGGCATTGGCGGGGCGGGGACCTCTTCCTCGTGGAACTCTTCGTCGTACTTCTCGCGGCCTACACTTCTGCTTCGAGCTGAACCATCAGCGCGCCGGCGCCTCCGCTGCCTTCTATCCTCGGATGACGGTGATGCTGCGTTCATTGCAGCAGCGGCGAGCCCAGCTGCTGCCGCACCTCCAACGGCGGCCTTGAGCGCGCCATCGCTTCGCCGCGGGGTATCATCGACGGAGACAATGGAAGATTCTTCAACCGATTCGCCTGCAACACTTCGGGGAGAGTCAACATAGTCGTGGCGAGCTTCTCGGTCTCTGCGTTCCCGATGCCGGCTGTCGCGACCGGCTTCGCTACGCTTATCGGCGGACTTGCGTCTGTCTACGCCCAGATCTTCGCGAGAAAGAGACGTCCCTGTTCCGGTTGATGTAACGGAGCTGCGGCGGCTTTCGCGCTTGCTCTGCTCTCTCTTCAATGCGCTCAGTTCCGGCAGGATAAGTCGACGAATGGCATCCTCCACCGTTTCGAGTAATTTCGGATTATTGATGGACGATTTGGAAGCTCCGGAGCGAACTGAGCTTTGGTCGTAGGAACGGTGGCTGGGAGAAATGCTGGATGATAAAAGACTGGAATCTGCCCCAGATAAAACAGAATCAACATGGCCCCGACTGGAACGTCGTCGGGGTGATCGCGTTCCTTCCGATTGCTTCTCGCTGACACTGCTTGTCCGACTCTTGCTCGAACGGTGCTTGCGATCTTTGTCTCTTGAGGATCTTTCCCCCGACACTTTCCTTTCGCCGCTGTGTCTTTTGCTCCTGCTGCTCTTTGCATGATCAGCTATTGCGGCGCCGGCCAATGCGCCTGTAACACCGGCCGCCAGCTCATTACCCCGCGACGTGCTCTTACTACGCCTTTCAGAGTTCTTTGTTAGTACGGTTGAGCCAGAATTTCCATCGAGGAAGCTGTCCTGGGGAATTGCCGAGATGTCGGACATGTTGGGAGCCAGGTAAGAAGACTGAGCATCAGCATCGGGAATCAGAGGACTAGCCGGCCGACGACGCCGTCCGCCGCGGTCAATTTCTATGTCGATTGGGTTTCTCGACACATTGGACTCCTCGGTAGCGGAGGCGTAGGACCGCATGCTGTCGGCGTCCTCGCCCTCGAGAGCTTCAACGTCGAGGTGCGAGGAGGTTCCTGTGGTGGACGGCGCAGGCACACGGCGGGTCAGTGAGGTCTTGCGGGTGTTGCTTCTGGTCTCGGTGATTTGGATGTGGTCGCCGCGGTGCTTCTTGGACGGGGTCAGGCGCACGCGGACGCTGGGTTTGCGTTCGACTGTTCCCTCGGGGCCAGGCTTGCCACCCTCGAAATACTCAATGAGGAGCGACGTCTGGGAACGGTTGGCGCTGTGACCGCGAGTTTTTATGGTGACGGGTGTGCCGTCGTCAGGCAAAGAGTAGTGGGAAGCTTCGTCGTTTGGCCTGGACACATTGGTCTCCAGCTCGGTGGGGGTGACGGAGTCGGTTTCGGTCGGGGCAGGAAGTGGAGGAGGCTTGTTCGAGTCAACACCCATTGTGGTGCGATGCTCGAAGGCCTCGGCGACGGAGAGGCTGTTGATGCGCGGGCGCGGATGACGAGTGCCTCGATCAGCGGCTCACACCTCTATTTTGGATTTCGTCCTTTCCCTCGATCAAGGAAAGAAGGAAAAGAGAAGAGGTGAGGAGAGGAGAGGGTGGGTGGATTTGCCGGCTGCCGTCCAAGGTGGGCAAGGATTTGTTGTGGGTGCAGTCGCCGTCAAGACATGAGGAGCAGTTCGTTGCTGCGGGAGGAGGAAAAAAAACTGGGCGGGCTGGGCGACAAGCTGTATCCGTACGAGCTTTCACACCGGGCTGCGAGACACTGGGCGAGCGAGAGAGAGAAAGCCGTTGCGGTTCGGCGATGTTTGTGAAGGCAACGAACGGAATATCCCCCAAAGAAGGAAGAAAAACACCGAGAGACCTGTGGCCGCTTATGCCACACACACGCAATGCGCAAATGGGACCGAAAAGAAAAAAGCAACGATGTCAGTTGGAAATTTCGGATTAACGTCGAAGGGACGGCTGAATGGCGAGAAGGAGCTCAGATTTGGATGGCGCAAAGGAGGGAAGGCCAAGTGGTGAGAGAGTGGAGGGGTGAGGCGAAGGTGTGAGGTTCGCAAACTGGGGTGGCTGGGGGGTCAGGCCGTTGCTTGGGTGTTGTTTTTTTCCCCGGCGATGTTTTGGCCCCAGTTTGCGGATCTTTCTTGGGAGCTGAACAAGAGAGGCAGGTAAGCTTCCAGGGGTCTATCGACTTGTCTTTGGCCTTAATTTCTATCCGTGTGTAGCGCCGTCGTCGTCTTTTTTGTCTTTTACCAAGTCCCGACGCTTTTGGCGTTCGCAGAGGAGAAACAAGGACCGGCGAAACGGAACGAAACAAAGGTGTGTTGGTTCAAGGTAAGGTAAGAAAGAGTAGTCAATGATATCGGGTGCCAGCGAAAAGAATAATATCGAAAGCAGTGTCGAATATAGCAAACGGGCGGGATCGATAATAGCTGAGCAAAGGTAAAAGGGCAGCAGGTGAGGTATCTTGAGCTTAGGAAGAGACAAGCCGGGGGGAGGGGGGGTAAGCAGATGGAGGCGACAGGCGATGGACAGGCGACAATCTTGGATGATGCAGGCAGGGCCGAGTAGACTGACAGCAACCTGGAAAGAAGCACACGCAGAGAAGCACACAAGTGACAACAGACAGGCACACAGGCCAGCCCAAACGGACAGGGAAGTGCGGTCGAGAGGGGGGAACGCTTCGTCGGGCTCTGTTGTGGACTTGGGATATGCCTGGGATGTCCCTCCCGTCCAAGCTGACCTCAGTGACCTGCTGCATCTGCTGTGCTAATCAGGTACAAGCAAGTCACAGCTTTTGTTTGTGGAAATCTGATGTACACAAGTAGCATCGAGAATGGCGGCAACGTGAGCGCGGGAGCGGCTGGGCTGGGCCGGGTTTTGGGTCTTTGGTCTTTGGGCTGGGAAGACTGGACAAGGGACGGCAACAGCTAACACAACCTGTCCGTATGTACTCCGTACTCAAGGTACCTACGGAGCAGACTGCTAGGTCTTATTGGAGGCCTGCGTAGCAACGAGCACCAGCAGATGGCAAGCAAGGCGCAAAGTCGCCAGATGAGCGGTGCGACCAAGTAAACCAAAGTACCAAGCCGCTCCGGGAACACACAGCATACATGCCTACCCTCACTCGTCTCAACCGCCACGATAAGTCCACGAATCTCTGGGAGTTGACGTGAGAGCCGAGAGAAAGCATCAAAATTGAGGAAAAAGACAAAAGATTGGTCCATTCACCCCAAGTGTGATGCCGTGATAGGGTGGAGATGGTTGATGAGTTGTCCCTCGCTCGCTTCCCGAATGGAGCTTAAGAGGCACCAGAGGCATGCGGCGACGGGCCAATTGCCGCCGCAGGCCTGGGGCGTGTGGGAAATCGGGTCCCTGCAGGCCTGCAGAGCGTCCTGCACGCTTCTCAACTTCTCAAGTTGTTGTTCGAAGTAACCCCAAGGTGCCTTACATCCTCCCATACCTCCTCCTTCACAGCACCCATTGAGTGAAGGGAACGAGCTGAGTGTGTCAAGTCTGTTACCGTTGCCCTCATGTGCAGTCCTTCTCAGGGTAGTTGTTGCAACGGGCCTGGAACCACTCAGCGGGACAGATTGCACCACACATCTTTGGGCCCCCATGTCACGTCTACTCCGTACGGCCAAGATACTCTTTTAGTTGTTTGAACTCGATCAAACGCAGCATTGTAAGAGGTCCGATTCCTCACCGCCGTTATGTCGTCCCGCGCAGCCGTTTGCTCAGCGTTGGAACCTTGACAATGCGTCCACAAAACGGTTCATTAGGTACTCTGGCCAGTGGCCGTTGTCTTTGACCATTACCTACGGAGTATCCGTACTGGTACGGGTATGTCGATATGATACCCATTCCCTATGTTCAGATATCCATCATAAGGTACTGGGGTTGCTTCGATATCTCGATGCCTTTCCCATAACCTTGTCTATCGCTCCGAAACACTCTCAAATCCCAGTCACTCTCCCAGCCCCTCGACCAATATAGTGTACATAGATACTCCGTAGATAATCACACAATCGTTCATTACCACAAAGAACCGCAACTCTGCCCTCTTCCTCTTCAAGGTACCCGTATCCCTTCCGTACGAAACAAGGTTGACCAAGCATTTCTTCCCTCTCCCAGCCCCCCTCTCTTCGTCTTCCTCCGATCATTTTCGCAAAACGCATTTTAGACGCCAGAAGTCATCGGTACGGGCTTTGCCCACTTTCTGTCACCTCGTCCACTTTTTGCTCAAACGGGATCCCCTGGAAACCGGCCCCCCACAGCAAAAAAGAGGTGGAACTTCCGTGGGTTGGCTCGGGCGTTGTGGGCGTCTCCAATGATGTTTCCTTCACGGATAGAGCCAAGTGGATTTCAACCACTTCTTTTTTGGCTGGGCGACGGGAGGATACCGATCATCCACTAGACAAGGGTATATCATCGTTCAGGGCGCCACGAGAGAAATAGCTCTCACAAGGGAAACCGAAAATAAAATTGACACGGGGAACCTTGCCGGACCGTGAGTGACACCTTTGACAGCACCTTTCGATCTGACTAGGTATTCATTTGTATTCATTCGTACGAACATGAAGGAATTGATGGACTTGGATAATAAACGTCTGAAACATTTCTGCCCGTCTATTGCGGACGGCGCCGTCTTGTGAACCGGGCAACGAGTGAGACTTTCCTACCAGGCTACCTCTACCCTCTGGGACCTTTTCACTTTGAGCCCAAGCTCGAGCTCCTTGTTCCAACATCGAATGACGTTCGTACGTCATCTCACAAGAACAAGCCGCGGCCCTTCCCTCCCCAGAAACACACGGACACTGCTGCCACACGGGGACACGATATTTCAGCTATCCGATGTGCCGATTCCCATCCCTCTCATCACTGCTTCACTGCCTCCGTACAAAAATTGAGTAGGTATGCAGATAAGTACAGTAGTTGAAACAACAGAGTACGGACAAATCGCCACTGCAAGTAAGCGAAACGGTGAAGCAAAGAAACCGCCCACTTCACACTCCCGTCTACCTACTTTTCGACCCCCGAGCCCTCGAAGCAAACAAAATAGTCCGATTTGTCCACGTACCCCAAAGCACCCACGCAGCCGACGGTGGCGAAAGCGCAACAATCCACCTCGAACGGGGGCCCAAAAGACGATCCAGACTCGATGAACCTCCTTCTCTCTCTCCGTCTGGGGTCGGCGGCTCATGCCGGTCATCCCGCTTCTTTCCCCCGACCTCGCCCGTTTTGAAAGGTAAGTTGGCCCGTTGGGTTACATACGTGCTTTAGATAGGTTCAAGCCGAGGATATAGCCCACTGCATCTCTAGATTCTCGGGGCTCTATCGACTCTGATTACCTACTGCGAGGCATGGAACTACATCGCTGCCCCCATCTCTGCAGTTTGTCCTGCAAGTGAACTGGACGGGGAAATCCACCAAGGCAGTCTGTCGCACATGTACGGATGCCCATCGTACCGTACGTACGGAAAGTTGACCTACGCTCTCACTTCCAAATGGGGGAGCATCACCTTCCGTTTGTCGCCGCCTCACCGTTCCCCTCGAAACGAATGCCACCCGAACCCGTTGCCCTCAAGGACACACATTGATTGATAGCCTTCCGTATCTACTCATGCAAAGCAATTTCAGCTTCTTGATTTGGTACCGGCCGTGGATGCTTAACTACCGTCCTCTCGCTTCCATTCCTGTCTTTCGCCCCTCCATTCTCGCCCGTACCCGACCATCAACGCAACATCAAATGGCCAGTCGTAAATCGGGGCCTGCTGTGCGACATGTGAACGCCGCCCCCTGGCGGATGAGTGCAGCCGTTGTGTACCAGAGGCGTGATTCTCTGGTTTGAAAAACCCAAAACAAAATGGTGGGTTAAAAAATTTAAAGAAAACAGGAAAACATCACAAGGCCAGTCAAAATGCAGCTTCAGGTATCAATCATGTGAACTCCCAATAATGTAGGCTAAGTGTAATTTTGCGACGAGGATCCTCCGCTCTGTGGTATCTTCTGCCTCGTTCGCAATCAAGTAGGGCAATGCCTCGAAAATCATGCGTGTCGTATCCTTTTTGTTTGGACCGTGATGCTCTATCGTGAACCTGTACATAGGAAAAGAAGCATGCAATGCAATTCTCTTTCCATCAATTCTGCTCTGGAAGCAGCTCCCATCCCGTCCCATTCCTCCTCTTATCTCCATCGTTGCTTATACGCAAACGATGCCTTGCTACCTCCTCATGTGCTTCGCGCTCTTGTTGGGACGCACCGCGTACAGCTGTGCCGCCGCCTCCTCCGTCTCAGCGTTATCCAACAGCTCCGCAACAGTAGGGTTGTCGTTGGAGTGCGTGGGCAACCCGCCTCCGAGAATCGTCTTCGTCGCCTCAACGCGCGCCATGAGGGACCATGAATCGATGAGAACGACTGTAGACCCGAGGCGGAGCTTCTCACGATACCCGAACGCGCGGTTCTCCTCCTCGTCGTCGCCCCTGCGGCCCGCGCCGGGATCGGCTTTGGTGCCGCCCGTGTGCGGGTTAAAGGCCGGACGACTCGCGCTGGAGTAGCCGGGCCCTTTGCCGTGTTCTAGAGACGACACGATGCTGGCGAATTGCTTGCGCAGGTGTCTTCTGTCTCTGCGCGCCGTTTGCTTGACCGAGGGCTTGGATGCCTCGGCCATGAGGGCGATGAGCTTCTTGGGGTCGTATTGGAGGTTCATCGGCTCGCCCGTCTCTTCCTCGTGATCGCGGGCCGCCTCGAAGATGAAGGCGATGTTGAAGCCGGCGCTCGCTTGGACCTCGACGTCGGTGCTGTCGAGCTGCTCTACAAAGGCTTCGATGGCGGAGTAGACGTTTTCGGTGATGTCGTCTACTTGGCTGGCGACAAAGGCCCAGGCCTCGAGGGCGGAGGTGACGACGTCGCCGCTGTCTGCTGCGCCGACGGCCTCGCCGTCGCTTTCTACGATGGTGACTAGGTATTCGAGGAGCTCGCTTGCTGACTCTTCGCCTCCGCCGCCGTACATTGTTGTGACTGCCATGGCCCAGATCGCGGCTGCCTTGACGTCATTATCGTCGTCGTCTTCGAGGGTCTTCTCGAGTTGCGGGTAGATGTCGTCGAACAGGGAGTCTGATGGCGTTGTGAGAAGAGTGGCTGAGAGAGACTTTAAGGACATGAGGCGCTCGAGGGAGCTGCCTCCGGACCTTGTGTTCTTCATCAACGCCGTGACGATGTCGTCCAAGGAGTTGCTGACTTGGCGGCCGCCATAGTGGTGTTTGACAAGGTGCAGGTAGGACATTAGGGTGGCCTCGCGCCTCTGGGTGTTTGTCCGCTTGCGATCTTGCAGTTCGACGATGCGATCCTGTAGTAGTTGTGCCCAGTTGGGTTCCGTTGCCTCATCCAAAGCGGTGTCTGAGTGATTTGACAGTGTGCTCATGGTCATGCCGTCGTCGTAGTCGGAGTCGCTGCCTTCGTCTTCTGAGGCATAGCGACTACCGGCGCGCGAGTGTGCCGGGGAGTTGATCTGAGAGTGGCCAGGCGAGACGTTGGGTGAGTTTCTCATGGAGGCGCGAGCGGACTCGGGGCGTGATTTGGCCTTCTTGGAGACGGTCTTGCCGCTCTCGCGAAGAACCTTGAGTCTAAGATCGTGCATGGTGAATGACGGTGTAAGATAGACTTTGTGTGCATGAGTGGTGTGTAGAGTAGAGAGAGAATTGGTTGCTGTGAACGGAACTTCTCGTGGGAGAAGACCTGTATATGTAGGGGTTGCCTGATTTGTGATTATCAGGGTCTAGGACCTTCTGTGCTTGTAGCGCGGTGGCGTTTCTTTGAAGATGGTGTTGCTTCTAATTGTGTTCTGCGTCTTGCTCCAACAATCCATGGGTGGTATTCGGTCTCTGTATATAGGTCTGGGAGAAAATCCGGAGATAGGTTGAGACGCAAAGATGACTATGTTGAGGTTCCGGAGATAGGTCTAGAGCCGCACAGGTTGGTGATTATCCAGCGGCTCGGCGAGGATTTGAGAGGGTTTCAAGGCAAGGTACTTGGAAACCGCGGGAACTGGAAGCTGAAAGATGGACTTCGTGGGTCACCAGACCGTCTTTTCAGATGCGAGGAGAAGCTTGGGGATTTAAATTAGGGCAACGGTGGGCAAAAAAAAAAAAAAAAGGTGTGGAGGGTTGGCGAAGAGTAGTGAAGGTGGTGGGTGGTAGCGATAGAAGAAAGAGGGTGGCATTCACATTTCATCAGAGGGAATCCTTGGTATACCTATGATGCCTGTCGGGTGTGTCGCACAGGGATCGCAAAAAAGAGCGAGCGAGCGTTGTGGATGACGAATGACGAAAGAGACTTTTCAATCGTGTGTAGGGCGAGACACGCAGCTGGATGCAAGGTTGAGCTCGGGGACAAAGCAGAAGGAGGCAGACAGACAGGAACGGCGGCAGCAGCAGCAGCAGCAGCAAAACATCCGGCAAACAAAAATCCAGACATCAGGCTGCATTTTGCCCCTCCATTTCTCACATCAGTCAACTTTCTGTCACTCCACACGCCCGAGGTCAAGGACTCCAGGATGATGTCTTCCTGTGGGGGCAAAGTGGGCGTGGTCTGTCCGCTCGCGCATTCCTGGGAGATACCCCTGTAAGCAGATCATCCCCCCGTCCTTGGTTGCGTACGGAGTCACGGAGTGTGGTCCTCCACTCACTCTTGAACTTCTGCCCGCCCAACCGTAATGTTCCGCATCCGAGGGAGAAGAGAATTCATGGATGAATGTACGTTATCTTAGGTACGGAGGTATTGAAGAACATGAGGCCATTCGGCATGGGAAACAGATGCGGATACAGGCGAATGTGAACCCAGCCGGCATCATCTGACCGGATTCAAGTCTAGACACTCGCAGGCGGCGCCAGTGAAACCCCCATCCCTGGTCTCTCCTCATCCGCCGCCTAACCAGATTCGCCAGGATCTCAGCTCGTCCCTACCTGATGGCTTTTGTTAGAGATGGGGGCATAAACAGCACCAGTGACAGTTTGCGGCAACTCAGGGCACCCGGTGACAGATGAGCAGATGCAGCCCGATCTGGCCCTATGGACAGACATTATTACAACAAGGCAGGACAAACTGCTATCATGCACTACCTACTAGGTACCTAGATATGATGACCGGGCCTCGAGCGAAGCACGACGGTATCGTCCACCTCAGGCAAACATGGAGCAAAGCACCTTGACAACAACTTGAGGTCTGCTTTCTGAGGCCAAAAATATATACAGGGTTGATTCGGCAGAGTACGGATAAGGTAGACAAACACCTTGGGATTCCTGCAAAGCATAACAGAAGAGAGCATAGTTGCGCATATTGGGCTCGGCGACGTGGACAGTAGCAGCTGGTCCGCTTGACTTCATACCCAATTTCGAGGATCATCCGCCAGAAGCTGGTGTGGCTTTTCTCAGGCGAGGTGTTCAACTGTGTTGATGAGAAAGCCATCAAAGTCACAAGCGTGAATGGCTACTTACACCAGAGTGTGGGCCTTCCTCAATATTGGCACAACCTTGTTAATATACCAAACCTTGGCCCTTGGGGCACGCTCTGTGTTGTCTCTCTTCATAGTGAGAGACCACTTGTGACTGTTCTATATTTACTTATTCAGAGGTAGGTTCCGATTCCTGCGACAGCTATGCCGACTGCGATCCTCTCCAACTTTTTGAGAACTTGAGGCAAGGCAAGGTATGTACATCTGCTACCTTAACCCCGCTGGCCGCCTTCACATTCCAGCTGTCAGGTGCCATGTGGTGAGAGGTCTGAGGTGTGAGGTGCCCCTCTTTCCTAATCCCGTCATCACTAAATTGGAACGCCCCCGAGCCTGATCTCAGACACGCACTGTGCCTCCCGTCTCTGGCGGACCATTCGAGGCAACGCATATCGCAGTTAGGTTCCCTACCTTACTATCGGTGTTAAGCTGTCCAAACATCCAATATTCGACTCTCGTCCTCAGGGCAGCCTGGACGGCAAGAACTACCTACCCACCTAGGTACCCAAGGTCCTTTCCTGAACAACTAGAACTCGAGCCGTTAAGTCTCCTTGTTCGCAGGCAGACCTTGTACCTACCTACCTTACTCTTTGGTACTCGATGTGAGGTGGTCTCACTACCCAGCTTCACCCTTCACCTCAGTCACTTTAACCCCTCCACTTTCCACCTCATCCTTATCAGCTTCGACACTACCTAACCCACCCAAGGTAAGGTAGCTAAGGTAACTTACCGCTATCGAGGTAAGTGGACGTGTGTACGGGAGTGTTCGGACCTCACGGCCTCGCTGCTGATAACCCCACCAACCCACCGCCAGCGCAAGGTACCTTCCATTTCCCCACTGCACCTGCCCAAGACCCTCCGATACTAGGTTCCCTGCAACCTGCCCCTTCCGCGCACCAAGCCAAGTGCGATAAGGCGTTATCACCGCCTGCACTGCCGCGACTGCCTGATACCGAACAGTGACAGCACGGTGCCACCTCCGGATTCCTGCCCCACTTCACCCACCTCGGCGACCTCGACCTCCAACTTACACTGTATCGCACCTGCACCTGCCTTACCTTTCTGCCTCCCTCCCGCCTTCTCCATGCCCGTTCATTAACTTCAGCCCGTGAAGAACTGCGGTCTACTCTGAGCGACTTTTCCCCTCATACACCGCAACATCTTGGGCTTCGAAGACAGATTCCCACCTTCGATACCAACAAGTCCCCTCGTCCCAACCTCGATCGACCTAAGCTTGGTGGTATTCGGACGGCAGACGCTGATACTGGCACAAGCTTTCCAACGCACGCTGACTTGGCCAGCCATTCAGTCCGAGAGCCTCGTTGCTCTCGTCTTTCTCCCCAACCCACTCTCGCCAAATCACGATACGGTCGGGCAAGATGGCAACGGGCGCGAAACCTCAGGCAGAGGACGGTAAGCTTAACACTCCTGCCTCGCGTTGCCCTCTCCATGATCAGCCCTAACGGACTCCTTCTCTAGTGCTCCTGACCGTTTCGGTTCAACATCCCAACCTCGATTTCCAATACCCCGAGCGACGCATTATCCTCCAACAGAAAAACCCAAGCGTCGTGCAAATCGGCCGTACCAGCAAACGGTTTAGCAACCTCGAGGCCAAAGCCGATAACTGCTATTTTGACAGCCCGGTCATGAGTCGCGAGCATGCCAAAATCACCGTCGATTGGTACCACAAGGTGCGTGGTCTATTGTAGCTCGCCATAATTACCTTACGCTGACTGCTAATAAAATGAACAGAAGCTTTTCGTCAAAGACATCGGCTCCCTTCACGGAACCTATCACAACTCTCTAAAGCTGCCTCTACATGCCGCGAAGGAGCTGACCCGGGGTGATGTTCTCAAATTTGGCATCGACATTCAACGATCCAACGACCTCTTTCCGCCTTGCACCATCCAGGTAGACTGGGAATTCGATCACCTGGCCAAGGCCAAAGCTTCTGGTCAGCTTGGCGGCCGCCCCTCCTTCTCAGTCCCCGATGACTCCGACTCGGAAAGTAGTGATGAAGATATGTCCACCATGGACGATATCCGCGCCACCGTTGAGAAGATTCGCAAGATAGAGATGCCTAAGTTGACTACAGGCCTGGGCGGTTCCTTTCCCAGCTTCCTGCCTCCTCATAGCTCTATCGATCTCACCGTCGACTCTCCTGTTCACGAATCTCGCGGAGGTGCACAGGCTGAGACCCCAATTGTCATCGACGAGGATATCCCGAAGGACACAAATGAGCTCGCCGAACCCCTTCCCAAGGTCATGCAAGATCAGGAGGTGACGCTTGAGTTGGACGCACCGCATGACGAAGACGAAGAAGACGAGGATACGCCTTCCAGTCATAGAATGAACTCGAAGCTTCCTCTTGTCTTCGCCTCAGACTCCGAATCGGATGACTCCTATGATGACTCCTACGACGACGAGTCGGCAAGTTATCCCGATGAAGAACCCTCAGAGATGCCCGACTCTTACGATGATGACATTTGCCTGAGTGATTCCGAAATGTCAGACCGCAGTGACGCTGAAGATGACCTGGATGCCGAAGACGAGAGCAACAGTGAAAGCGATAGCGCGAGCGAGGACGAGCTCTTGATCGAAGCTTCGAGCTACGACGAGCCTGAAGACAGCCAGATGAACGATGACAATGACAACTATGGTTCTCAACCCGACAGGGACATGGCAGCCGCCTGGGAAACCCAGGGCGCCTCTCTTGCCTTTACGCAATCGCAACAAATGCTCAGAATGCCACACGCGAACTACTACCCCCAGCCCGATACTGGTCGCCAGTTCTTCCCCGCGCCTATGCCATCACTCTCTTCTATCATACCTTACGAGGGACTGGAAGAGCAGGGGAGGCAGAACGACTTCAGGCTGCCGTCGATTCTGAATCCTGCAGACACTCATGTCGAGAATGAGAACCCCTTCGTAGCCAGCCTGAAACCCCAGCAACTGCACATGTCTGCACCGACAGACCTCATTCAATGCGAGGGGGTGGCGCCACTTCATTGCTCATGGGAACGGGCCCTGAGCATTCCCAAGAAGGGCGTCGCTGCCACGGAGTCTCTAGCGTTCTCCCAGAATGATGGCCCCTCTGCTGAAGCCCTTGGAGAGACGACTGGCAAGACTGAATTCTTCGCGGCAAGGGAGGCCAACAAGGCAACCATGCGTCGCCACGAGCAAGACCATGACACAATCCCGGTCCAACCTCGCAACCAGGTCCCCGAACCGCCTGCGATTTCTGCCGAGCCATCTACTTCAAAACTCCCGTACAATGTTGTATTCGATGCAGCGCCCGTGCCAGAGCCGGTGAAGGAAACCCCCAAGTCGGCCAAAATGGCCGAGTCGGCCTGGTCTAGTTCTGGAGAGAAGTTCCTCAACAGTCCTCAAAGTTTCTCCGTCACAGACGTAACAGAAGCTCCTGAACTTGACATGACGAGCGCTTATCAGTTCCAGCAAAGCAAGCTGGGCTCTTCACTGACCGCACCTACCGAGCCTGAGGATATACCACAGGCAGTGACGTCTCCAAAGCGCAAAGCAAATGAGATGTCGACCCTCACGGCTCATGAGGAGTTCATCGAGGCGGCTATGAACAACATGGTAACCGGGGTGGAAATAACTGCCGAGCAACCCACGACTGTTCCCGTTGCTGCAGAGCCCACCTTGGGAGCACCTCCTCCCCCTAAGCGTCTGCGAAGCTTCTTGAGCAAGGCTGGGTACTTCTTCGGCGGCGGCGTTTTGACTGCGGCAGGTGTCGTAACAGCACTTGCCGCAACCGCCCCTGCTCTTTGATGACTGAATGCAGATGTTATTCATCTTCAAGGTATGGCTTGGTTTGATTTCTTGGAACGAAACTGGATCGGAACGGGCTTGACCAATTGTGTCTACCCGAGACTGACTATTAGTCACGGCGTTGCGAGTTTCGGGGGTCTGGAATTGGGAATAAGGAAGTGGCGGGATGGAATGATTCAAATTTGATGATGCTTCGGTTCAGAGGGCTGGAGATGACAACTTGATCAGGACTGGCAGGGCAGGTTTTCTCACATGAAGGTTTATGACATTACTAGGCCGCTAGTTATTCGCTTCTCTATTTCTACAATGGCTGTTTCTTATCACACTTATCGCTTTAGTAAACGGCAGGCTGCGCTTCGGCAATGATCTACTCTTTACTATGACATGATCCATAACGTATCTCGGACTTTTTTCTTTTAAAAAATCGAGAACTCTTATCTTCTACCATTTCATCCTAAGATGCTGGAAAACCAGTCCACGTAATACTATTATTGACAAACTGAATTCAAGCCGCTAGAGGTACCCTCCGCCGGAGGTGATATATTGTTTCCTTTCCGGCCCAAAACGTGGGAGGATCTATTGCCCAAAGGCCATAGGGCGTCTGCGAAGCCATCACTTTTCAGGGATGATAAGCTGGCCATCCATCTTAGCCACTCGGGATGCCTCAGGTAGAGCTACGCCATCCACCGCCCGCGACCCATACGAGGAGTGAATCATGCTCAGTCTTCAACAACAAGCACCGGGCCATATGGCCGAGGGGCCACGAAGTGCTGGCTGGGACAATGATGCTCCTGTTCCTTCCAGGACTCTGGCCTTCAAATCTCGGCTGGTCCATTCTATTTTGGGTTTCTTTTTGGTCAATTTGACTTGTGTAAGAGCCTTGGATATTTCTTGATGTCTGCGTTTGCCTCAAACATAGGTGAATGTGTCTGTATTGGTGCTTCTTATTGTTCTAGGCGTGTGAGTGCGTAAAAACGCTTACCCTTTACGAATATCTCCGTTCGTATGGGCGTTTAATAGCGCGACAGACGCGAGGTATGGGTTAGTGGGCTTCGCTTTGCATTTTGCTGGGAGGGGTTTCCTCGCCGTCCAACGTGACTTATAGGGGAAGCCGGATGTTGTTCTCGTGGGTGGTTCGGATCTTTCCGCGGGACTCTTTTCAATGACGGCTCTGGTTTAGAAGTAGATCAAAGTCAATGATAGCGTAAGTAGCCTTACTCACTAAGCCACCGAGGTTCAGAAAAACAGAGTGGTTTACTCAGAAGGCGCCTGATTCGTGCCAGGGCAACGTATTGCTGTTGTGCAACTCGGCCTAAGCACCTAGAGTACGTAGACATGCTCGCTTCTTTCGCGATTATACAGAACGAGGCTAAGAGTTCTGCTTCGCGTTTGTCTCACCCGCGGAGGGAATTCACAGCTTCCTAGAGGGAGAGAAGGGGGTGGTACGATTTCCATTCAAGGTGCTTACTTGTCTGTAACCGATGATCGGATGGAATCGTGTCAAGGGTGACTCCTTCGCGTGATCACAGCTCTTCGATATCGATCCAGTAGCAACGTCCGGGTAACCTCCCGCGGCGGTACACGACCGGCTGATGCCACGCTATCTCGTAGGGTTGAGCGGGATCCCTCCCTCTGTGTTCCATCGTCGACTTGCAGCCATGACCGACGTACTTGAGTGGTTCCGTTCCTCTGGATAAGCGAAGGGAACGCGGTTAGGGGAGAATTCGGCAACTACTGCTGCCAACGCAGGCTCGGCTCGTGAACAACCGTCCAGTCCATGTCGCCTATCAGCTATGGCAGCCTAGAGATCAAGTTGCTAGCCTGCCAAGACACACTCGATATTTGACAAGGGTTGTCAGCAGCCTTGGAAGATAAATCGTATTCCCTTACAAATTCCTCTCTTCCTCAGTCAATTCTGAAATACGATGGTTTCGTATGTTTACTGGACTATCATGCTACTTGTTCCCTAGACTCCCGACGCACGGGTGTCCAACGTCGTGGAACAGCATGAGCCGTCCATCCATAACACCAACGCCCTATTCCAAGCCCGAGCCCAAATCAAACTTGTAGAGAAAACGACCGTTCTAATCCGCCAGAGAAACACACTAGTTTGGTCCCCTACGAGACCACCCTGCCCTCTAGACCATATGACTTTCAGGGTTAAAGTAGCATTTACATGGATTCCGCGAAGTTCCCCTCAGGAAGCCAGATGATGGCGTTGGCTGCCGTGGTTCAGTGGCAGCCGGCACCGGCGACGCCTTGACCCGAGCCTGTCGGTCCCGTAGGTCCCCTGGGTCCCGGTTTGTTGTTCGAGTCCTCGGCCACGGGCTGAGAGCTTAGAGCCTGGGCTTGGCCAGCAGCCCCGTGAGGGCAAGGGACTCTGACCACACCTCGGGAGTCGCAGGTTTTACAAGGGTTTCTATGTAGCATAATTACGTCAATGCAAAGTTCTACTAACTCTGGGTTGGAAATTTCCTCACCTTTCGTTCCCGCCACAATGAGTGCAGGTTCTGAAATCCCACCTGCCAGAGTACCCGTCATCGATGCAGCCGCAGGTTTCGTTCTCATCGTTCGCCATAGCAGATGATGAGGTGGTGTTTCCGCGGTTCATGATGGTTCAATAGAATTTGATAATGTTGATGATAGAAGAAAGTTTTAGGTATCACTACCAGATTTGGTGAGTATTTTTCTGTAGATGAAGATTATGAGAGAGGAGAAGGTGCGTCGCAGGCTGTTCGAGAGACAAATGGAAAAAGAGTCTGATGAAGGAGGGAGTTGCTCCGTCTTTATACTTTTCCCCATCACGACACTTGGAGGACCAACTTCCCATCAACACCATGAAAGTTATCGCACTCACGAAGGTCCTTCGACACCAGATTCTTCTCGTGTGCCGGTTTGCCTCACCGCCTTCGACCAGCAGCCGGTCTGGAGAGCATTATCGTCTCCCGGACCTTCAACGCCGGCCAAGACATCACCAGAGGAAACAGCTAGCTGAGTCTTGTGGCCATGCTTGCCCCCGGCTTCTACCTCCATGGTTGCCTCGTTTCATGCCGCGAACTAGCGAATAAGGAGGCAGTGGTGGGTGATACTTCATATGTTGCCTTGTTCTGTCCCCTTTGGATAAGTAGCTTTGCATATTCTTCGAGCCGTCCTCGGGGGCAATTTGTCTCGGCAAAACGTTGGATCTGATATTGACGTCAGCCGCATAGAATTACAGGGCTTACATGTCCTGGAGCTACCACCCTCGCCGACGCCGTGGTATGAGCAGCCTCATGTGTTCCCCGGCGCCCCCGTTCCTTGCGTCGAGCCTTTGACCGATCTTGCTCCCCCACGATCTCTACTCTAGTTACGTTCAGCTGATGACGATCTCGAGATCATTGTCATCGAGATAAAGCCCGAATCATTGTTCCCAAAGAACAATAGGCGCATCTCTTTCTCTATTCGGCCTCACCTGCCTCGGACTCTGATTTAATTCCTCCCGGGCTGCCAGCTGTCCCAGCAATCACATCTCCAACCTCGACCGACGCCTGCGGCTACCCGCGTCAACCCATGTCAATCCTCCCACACAGATGTACACCGGCACCTCGAAGGGGCCTTGAAAAGCTGCAGAATGATAAACCAATGCCATGCGAAGGTTTCCATGGGACCTTCCAGCCGAGAGGAGAAGAATAAGGCGGTGTTCAACACGACCCTCCACGCTACGCTGGCCATCATGCGTTTGAGAAATGTCATTTCCCTTGGTGTCTCCGACTTTTCTACCCGCCCCTGATAGTGCGACCAATGACGGCTTCATGGTCAGACCAAGCATTTAGGATTTCCGTGGGACTTTCCAAATCACCGCATCTACCCAGAGATTCCACCTCCCATTACTCGTCTCGTTGTATCGTCAAGCGACACCCTCCGGCACGGCCCATGCCCGACGAAAGCCAGGACAACCCCATGTCGGGCACGATGCACCCATGCTCCTGCGTTCTCTTCCTCCCGTTATATCCGAGCTTAAGTCTGCGTAACGCGAATTCTTCAGGACGAAGTGGCATGCCCGCTAAACGCCAACACAACATAGATTCGAGACTCACGATGTTAGTCTCCCGCTGCCGAATCTTGGGGTGTCGTAACGTCCCATCCACCCCGGCATAATGCTTCATTCACTACATAGAAAGTTGTCGAGGTCTCGCCGACGAATACAGGATCTCAAACTACCCAAGTACGTCGGGCATCTTAACATGCCAACATTGATCATCAATAAACGAGCGTCAAAGAAGTACGAGCGCCGAGAAACTACAGCAGAACCCTTACACTTCTCTGCAAGGTCCGATAGCCCCGACTCACCCGTTCATATCCTCGGCCGATTCCCTGCTTGTGCCACCCATCCTTCCCTCGACCAGCGGCATTGGACGCGATCGCCAAAAAGTGTCATCTGACTTCCTTGTACTCTCTGTGACGGCTCAACCAAAACTCGAATGCCGAAGGGTAGCCATGTAAATAACGACAATTATCGTGGAAGTTGTCGTTGATACGGTGTAAGTTCAGTCTGCTCAAGGAAAGCTGCATGTTGTTGATTTCTCTTCTTCTTTCGTTACATCGCAGGGCGTGTCTTCGGATGATCACCTTGCATGTCTTCCTCGACACTCCTTTATCTGGAGATCCTAGATGACAAATGGACATTACCTGCACATATCACACTTGCCGCGTGATTACCCTGCTGTCCTATCTTACGTTTTCTTCCTGCCCTTCCCCTCCCGGAGACGTTTCGCGGCAACCTCATTACTCACGATGTTTTTTCAACAGGCCTCATCCCAACGACCCCTCTCTCGTTCACGGTCCTTACCCGTGGTGGCGTCGCTCACTGCAGGCAAACATCTCATCTCGGTGAGCGAGAGAACCAACAGGACCCCAGTCACCGCGGTCCTTTTAGTCCTTGGTCCCATGCATTGACGAGAGACAGACGTAGAGAGAAAGACCGTAACAGAGAGATAGTAAAGCGACGATGATAGACAGTGTAAGTCCGCAAAAACTAGCTCTAAATTGGGCTCTAATTGCGAAGCCTCCTGCAGGTCTTGGAGTCAAGAAAACGGAAAAGGAAAGAAAATGTCCCTTTTCCCCGAGGCCCCCGACACTGTCTCACTGCGAACTAGACAGCCAACGACTGTCTTCCGCTAGGCGTATGCGCGCCTTCAATATTTTTACAGTACGATTCAGCCCAGTCTACGGGTTCTGAAGAGGCGATAGGACCGGATCAACCAAGCAGCGAAGTATAACGGACATTGTCTCAACCTCAGCCTCTGGGCTCATCTACTTTCCGGCTGTCAACTGCACAGAAACGCCGGCAGTGCACAGTCACCCTCAACGTCGCCTTGTGGGATACTTCATACCCATGCCCGTTCCGTTCTTGCTTTACTGCTGTGCTTCGCGAGAGAAAGCATCCGTACAACAACATTGATTCATTCGTCGCTGGTTCTCACCCGTCTTCCTGTCCAGCTACCGCGGTTGCGCCTGAGTATTGGAGTTTGTGCGACTTCGAAACTTATCGCCAGCCATGTCTTGGAAGGAGGAGGGCGTATCTTTCGTCTGTTCTGCGACAATGACAAGTAAGCTAGGCGTCAGCTACAGCAGGTGAAAAGGCACAGTTTGCCAGGAACGCACCCACCCTGGAGGCCTGAGCCAGCCAAGTACCCTGTTACAAGTAGGGGCACAGCACAAAGTCGACAAGCGGTTTTGATAGGATGGTTGAGACTCGAGAGATGGCCATGGTCAACCAAGCATTGGCATAGCCATACTGATGGTCACATCTGAAGTCGTAACTACGGCCGAATGAAAACCAAGAGAGAGATTAGTCGCCACTTCAGGAGAGTTCCGAGTCGTACAGATTCGTTGGTCTCGTGACTGATTGGCACTGATGTAATACCGCTCCTTTGGTTCCGTCTGATACACCGACTGGATCTGCAAGGTTTTGGTGCGGTCATATTGGCATCCTTGAGGCCCGAGCCTGCGGTGAGCTGTGTATCTCGGAATTGAAATAGCCATGATACGGATGTAGATGACGGCGATGAAATATCTACGTTTCGAATAATGCGCTACCACGTGGCTTCTTTGGCAAGTACGACTGTTTCACCGTTTGAGAGGATCGACTCACATTGTCTTCAAAGAAACTAAGCAGAGGACCTTGGAGCTACTGTGAGTCCCTAGGCCATTCAGTCACAGGTCCGCTATAATAGGGGTCGGCTTCTCGGGTACTACATACCCAGACGGGAACCCGGCTCGGGTGCTGAGGATAGATCATGATGTGAGAAGAGACGAGTGCGAGCATGAAGTAGGTAGCCGCGGTAGGTTGGAGAGAAGAATAAGTCAACGTCCAATATTGGTATCTATGGGCGTCGCAGGAACCAATACACGCTTAATCCAACCCCTGCCGCGACCGCCACTCTCTCAGCCAGCTTGCGCAGCAATAGCCTCTCGCCTGCACGGTGACCTTGCTTTTCAAAAAAGTCTGCTCCCGAGTTCGTCCATGGGTAGGGTGTCTCCGGCACCGGCAAGCCGAGAAACTCACACAACGGGACCCAGCCGTCCTTGGGTCCGGAGAAGACGAGCATCCTTTCGGGTGTCTCACGCGTGATGGCTTCAATACGGGCATGATGCTCGTCATAAGGCTTCCGCCCCGGGACGGCCTCGGCCCACCCGCCGTACGCCGTGTCCATGATAAGCCGTAGGAAAGGCCACCACGCGGCGCGGAAGGCGTCGAGCGGGTGAAGCAGGCGGAAGACGAGGGACTGGCGCAGTCTGAAGACCGTCTTCTCCATGGACGCGCGCCAGGGCTCATAGTCGCGCTTGGAGACGATGATGCGGGCTTCTGGGTAGGCGGCGGCGAGGTCCTCTGCGAAGAGGAGGGCGTGCGGGCACTTGACGACGTCGTAGTCGCCTAGGAGCTTGTCGAACTCCGCGCGGCCGTAGGGCTTGCAGCGGTTGTGGTACTTTGCTTCGATGGCTTCCGTCCAGAGGGGGATTGACTCTTGCCAGGTTGGCCACATGGCTTGGAAGGAGAAGACTTTGAAGCCGAGTTGCTCGAGGGCACTGTTTAGTGCTGTGGTGTTGAAGTTAGTAAGACGGCATGATTTAGGATTGTGGAAGTTGAGGCTATTGCGATATGGGATGAACGTGTTTTTGATGGGATGGACTTGCATTCTGTCGCCGTCCGCGGCAGTCCGAGCAACAGCAGCTTCATGGGCCGCATTCTCGTCTTGGTGACGGAGTCAATGAGGCGAGGCTTTTCTGACGTTTCCATTTTCGATGATGATGAGTCTTCCGTGAACTTGCTTCCGTGTGCCATGGTTTCGTTCTTGCAATATCTTATAAGGCCTCTCATCTTGGCCGAGGTCTTGCTTCTCATTTGAGAGTCTTTATAAGTGAGCCAGCTGTCATGTACCAGGGCTCGTGGACAAGGTTTCCATTAGAGCAAGGGGATAAACCTAAATTGGCACAGACTGAGCTGACTCGTAATTACTCGTCCAGGATTCCGGGTGGGAGAGCTGGATCATGGATGAGGGTGTGTCTCGAAGGTAATCCACGCCCCTAGACACCCGGTCCTCTTCTCTATCCACCTCTCTCGCTCTGTCACTGACTTCTTTCGGCGAAGAAGCCATTCAAGATAAATGCCGATAGCACAACAGAGACTACGGATAAATGTATCTTCAAAGTAACGAAATGCTGACAACACAGCCCTTTCATGAAGCAAACAAAAGCTATCGTGTCTAAGCCTATGATTCATGGAGCTCGACAGACCCAGATCCTCTCCTTTAGTTTCCTACAACCTAGATTCGCAGAACCATCTCAAGGCTTCTGTAATGACACGTGCCAAATCCTCATTCACTCTGGGGATCATGATGTCGAAGTGTCCCCCCTCAACGATGTGCTGCCTCACACACGGCCCTGCTAACTCTCGCCATTCTTCCGTGAGCTGGGCTGTAGAGGTTTCCGGGCGTAGCTTCTTCAGCCAAGCTCCATGATCACCGTTAATAGCATCGCCGAATGATCCATTGCTTAATTCCTGCGCTTTTCGCAGAATCCTGGTCGGGAACAGCGAAAAGTCGCCATTTGACGACCAGACCACTTGCAATGTCGCCGCGTTCTTCTCCTCGTTATTGTACAGCGGTGGAAGGTCGTAGGAGCTATTCATGATAATGATATTCAGCATATGGTTTTTCTGCCACTCAGCGATGGTTGATGACACATGACCTCCAGACCATTCAAAGAACCCCGTTGCCTCGAGATGCTCACACGAGATCGGTTCGGGACCTGAACACAGATTGGGAGTCAGATGCGCGTAAGACTCTATCACGAGAATTCCAGAGACTGCGTGTCCCAATTGTATGATCTGTCTGGCACAATCGTATGCAAGACGCCCTCCAATCGACCAGCCACCGAGCATATATGGTCCCGTTGGTTGCAGACGAATAATTGCCTCGATGAATAGTGAACAATACATGTCCATAGAGAGATTGGGGATAACATTCATGCCGTGAAACGGTGACTCGAGGGCGTATACTCTCGTGTCGGTCTGTATAGACAGGTTCGACGGAAGCCCTGCGTACACGGAGCTGCTTCCGGAGGCGTCTGGAAGGAGAAACAAGTTGTGTGTGCAACGACTGGAACCTTGCAAGAGAACAACTCTGCTCGAAAGATCAGCACTCACGGAGTGAGGTGTCGTGTTCAGTCCCAGAGCAATGTTTGCCGGTGTGATGCTGCCCTTTTCAGCGGCAGCTTCGACGCGTCTGGGTTCGACATTTGCCAGATTAATCTCTAAGCAAAGTGAGGCAACTTCGCTCACGGTCTGCGCTTCTAGTAAAGCTATCAACGGAACCTCGACGCCTAGCTCGGCTTGAATGGTGTCTGATATTGTAGGAGCCACCAAGGAGTCGACGCCCAAATCAGCCAGTGCGGTGTCCTGACCAATCTCATCAGGGTCTGCATGCGTCTCTTTGGCCAGTATTGAGATGAGTTTGCTTATCAAGCTTGCCGGGCGCGTCTTGATAGTTCCCTCGTGCTTATCGAGGAGCATGCTCTTTGGAGGAGAATAGTGCTTTGACTTTGACGATCGTGGAGTAGATGAGATGGCCTGAGTTCTGGGCTCACTCTCTTCCATCCGTACTGTAGCGTCCTCACAGCCTTTGCCACTTTTGCTTTTGGTTTCTGGTCGTTGTTTCAATTTGTGGAAACGCATGCCACCGATAGCGGCCACGGGGCACATGTCATTCTCCTCATCAAATATCGTAACGTCCATAATGACGTCGCCCGATCCATCTGTTTCTCCATGAGCGTAACAGGCGTACATGCTGTTGCTGCGAGGACGCTCCCAAAAGTCGATAGCCGCACATTCGTTGAGTACGTATACCGCTCCGGGATCAGCAGCAACATTCATGTTCACTGTGAAGCCAGCGGCCTGCATTGCACCATCCAACCAGACCGGGTCAATCACATATTTTTGGTCTCCGGCAGCCGTGCTTGATGTTGTTCGAAGCTTCGCGGACGCTTCATAACCGAGGGGTGCTAGAGTGAGGTTTTGAAGAGCATGGTACTTTGAAGAGTACCGCATAACGGGCGTCCACATCTTATAGATCATCGGCCCGTTGAAGTGGTTGGCGGCGGCGTTGCTACGAAGCTGGCTGATACGAGAGACGGACCTAATGAGAGAGCGAGCCGTGTGCTCGCCTCTGATGCCGTTCGAGTAATCTGTCACTCGCAAAATGCAACTTGCGTGATGAGTCTGACGTTCGCCGCCGTAGAAAGTAACAGCATATTCCGGGACCACGTTCAACTTTTCCAAGGTGATTTCAAGAGTCGGGTTTGGGCCATTGGTAGCGTCACTATCTATCGTGATAGCCGCCATCAGGCGTAGTGACCTCAACCCGATGGACTCGAGACCCACCCGTTGGCCTGGTCTTTGTAGCAGGGCGGCGAAGGCCATGTCGATCAGCACGCCGGCAGGGCATATGGCCTTGTTTCGGATTACATGGCCAAGTATGAGACTCTTCAGCGGCTCTTCTTGGAGATTCGTCACATATTTCGCCCTAGCTTTTCCCTCGTCCTCTGAGTCGAGGGTACATCCAGAAACAGGTGTATCTGGCTGTGATGATGACGACGACGACGACAATATTGATGGTGATATGGAAGGAAGATGACGCCTGTGCGCTAGAGGAATCCAGAAATTCTTCAGGTCAAAGCCGTAGGCTGGTAACTCTAGCAGACTTCCGCCCTGTGTTATCGCGTCGTGATAACGGCTCCAGTCGACGTCAACCCCAGAATTGTAAAGTTTACTTACACTGGAGGCAATAGTGTCAAGGTAACCCTGGTCTCCCGTGCCAGTAGCCTCGAGAACCTCAGCCCTGTCTTCACGCGCCAGGGTGATGTTTGCGACAGTCATGTCTCTGCAAATCGGTGTCGGTGAAATTATCAGGAAGATGGTCTTTTGGCCAGGACCGAGTTTCATTGCAGATTCAACAGCGTCGGAAAACTGTACAGAATGTCGGGCGTGTTGAGCAACATGGTCGGGCCAGGACGGACAAGTGTTGAGCACCGATCCCGTTACCGTCGACACAAAGTTGATCTGTGCTTGACTGGCGAAGGAAGCTTGCGTGGCAACATCAAGCAGCCCCTTCAAGATACCGTCCATCTGACCCGTATGGAAGGCATATGGTGTCTTAACCAAGACACTTTTGATCCCATGTACCTTAAGGCGGTTTTGAAACTCTAGGATACTATCGAGTGGCCCACCAACTACAGTCTGTCGTTGTGAATTTCTGCATGACACCTCGAGTCCGTAGTCTGTTAGGAATGGAGTGAGTTGTTTCTCTTCGGCCAATACAGCCAGCATCCGGTGGGTATCAAATTTGCAAGATTCTTGCACCAAGCCTGCCCGTTTGCCCACGAGCCAAATAGCATCCGCAGCAGAGAGAACGCCACTCAAATGGAGAGCAGCATATTCTCCGAGACTATGTCCAAGTACAGTCGCAGGCTGTATGCCCCAAGTCTCCCACATTTTGCTGAGAGCAAGCTCAAACACGATGAGTGCGACTTGCTCTAGCACGGTGTTCGGTGAGGCATCCGTTGTATCGGGAGTAATGAGGTGGTTTAAGACCCCGGAGAAGCCTAGAGATTCACTGAGTTGACTGTAGTCGTGCAAAGCTTCCCGAAACGCGCTGTTGCTGTCGTTTAAATGCTGGGCCGAACCGGCCACTTGTCCGCCCTGCCCGGAGAACACGAAGACAATGTGCGGCGTATGTGATGTATGCCGTGATGGTGGCGATACTTCACTCGTGTCTCTAGAATCTTCGGAAAGAAGGCTGATGATCTCAGCTGTATCCCTGGCTTTGTATGCGAAGCGGTGCGGATGGTGAGTTCTCCGTTCACAGGTTGTGTAAGATACATCATCAATCGCCGCAGAAGGCTCCTCAACGAGGAACTTGAGAAGTCTCGTTTTGTTGGCTTGAAAGGCCGAATAGCTCTTGCCAGAAACAACAACGATGCGTGGCAAGTTCTCATATGACTCTCGGTGTTTGGGCTGTTTTCTGATGAGCTTTGAATGCTTCTTCGAGCCCTCCACAAGAATGCTGGTATTCCCGCCAGCTGCCCCAAAGCAATTCAGTATGATAGCTGAAGAGGCTTGACGATGTCTTGAAGTCTGTTCGTTTAACTTCAGGGGCTCAGAGTCCGAATTGATAGCAATGTTTAGCTCTTTCAGCGGAGGGAAATTGTGGTTTAGTTCCGTCCTGAGCCCAATATGTGGAGGAACACTGTCATGGCGAATCATGAGCAGCGTCTTGACCAAGGCTGAAATACCGGCTGCACCCTCGCTGTGTCCAATATTGGCCTTGATGCTGCCGATCCGTAGTTCGCTGGCTGGTCTGTTTGGTGAACCCCTGGGGTGACGACGCGGGCCTCCAAGAACGGCCGTTACGGCTTCAATCTCTGCAAGATCGCCTGCCTGTGTCCCGGATCCATGAAGTTCAACATAGGCCACATCTTCCGGCTGCCTCAGCGACTCACTCAAAACACGACGAAGTAAAGATTTCTGAGCTTCCGCGGACGGGCGAGTGATGGGGTTCGTATCTGTCGAGTGATTCGTCAGGATGCCGCTGATGACACCATGGACTATGTCACCATCTCTTCGCGCATCACTGAGACGCTTTAGGACGACGACAGCCACTGCCTCAGCGCGCGTATATCCGTCTGCTGTAGCGTCGAAGGTTTTGCAGGCTGTGTTGTATGCTCCCAGAAATCCGCCGCAACGGAGGCCCGCGTACATGCCGGCGTCACCGTCACCCGAGATGATGCTAGCCCCGCCAGCAATGGCCATGTTGCACTTACGTCCTCGAAGAGACTGCACGGCTAGATCTAGAGCCATAGCACTGGAGGAGCAAGCTGTGTCCACCGAGACTGATGGGCCATCCCATCCGAAGAAGTGGTTCAGCCGGCCCGGGCCGAAAGCGCGTAGACCCCCTGTCACATAGTACGGATCATCCTGTGCCATGTTATGTTCGCGCCAATCGTCAGTAGCCTGTCCGACAAACGTGCCCACATGCCGTGTATGGAGATCTTTGTTGTAGCCTGACATATCCAAGGCCTCTTGCGTCGTGAGTAGCAGAAGCCGCTGTGATGGGTCCGTCTGTAAAGCTGCTCTTCCCGACATGTTGAAGAACTTGCTGTCAAAGTGGCCGGCTTGTTCAATGAAGCATCCGGTGGGTAATATCTGGCTATGGCTTTCCGAGAACCTATCACGCGGCATCTCGATATTCCATCAGCAAACGGCCAAGCCACAAATGTTAATCATGATCCGACTCACTTGGCTTGAGGTATCACGGCCCTCGCAAAGTACATCCCACAGCTCGTCCGCACTTCCAGCCCCTGGAAATCTGCCAGAGTATCCGGTGATCGCAATGAGATTTTCATTTTCCTCTTTATCGCTATCACTGCCGCCATGGCTGTCTTCGCTGGTGTTATAGCCTCTTCTTTTGTGTTGATGAAGGCCGAGACTAGAGATAGCACCGATACCAACTCCCAAATTCTTCAAGCGACGAGCAAACGCACTCCATTGAGGCGTTGGACTGAAAGTATACAGATCTGGCAGGGATGTGACCGATTCCAGCTGATGTGCAATCTGCTTTGCCACCTGTTGTGGACAAGAAGGTCGCTGTAGGATGTCGCGGAGTGCCTGTGACAGTATAACCCGCAATGAGCTGCCTTGAAATACCTCGCCGGTGCTAGATGAGAGGATAGTGACACCATCTCGAATTGGTGATTCAAGAAATGGAGAGTCTCCGATTATATGATCATATCTGGAACGAGTTGATGTTAGTAAGATTACCCCTCTCACATCATAATCACTTTGAGAGATGAGACACGTATCCTTACTCTGGTCCCCGAAGGTGCTCTGCATGATATGCAGCGAATATTGGCAGGTCTTTCATTGCCGTATTGCCGAAGGTCCTCGATCGTAGTTGATTTAACGTCGATGGTGGGCCTGAGATGACGGACCACTCTTCCAACTCAAAGCTCACATATGCTCTCTTATGAGCCGGAATTTTCTGGTGTCGCACTGTGTTAGCTTTAAGTGTTTCTTGCCAAAGGTCTTCCGCGCCATTCTTATGAGGTCGGAATGCCAGTGAAAGCTACCCGTGTTCTCTTACTTCATAATCGGAGCAACGGGCCATGGCGGCGATGCAGTCATGTTTTGGTAGCTGAACGGCAAGAGCCCACACTGAGCCAGGATGATCTTCTAGTTCCTGAGAGCGTTGAGTAGCGAATTCAGTCAAACGCTTCACTATTCTCAATGTCTCCTGAGTAAGATCAACGAGGTGTCCCGCATCTCTTGCTACCGCAACACTGCATGCGAGAATGAGCCCGACACATTCACCAACTAATGTCCTCGGGCGGCTGTCATGAAGTATACTTGGGTCTTCTTGACACTTCCTAAACATCATTGGGTAGAGATCCCCGTCCGTCAGCATTGATGAGCGGAAATGTCACTTTTCGTTCAAGGCGCAATAGTGACTGACCAGATCAATGAGCCAAGCTGCGATACACAGGGCACAAGCGCAGAAGACATTGGACCTGCTTGAGAGGCACTATCAGAAGAGGCCGTGTCTGCCCAATCGAGCACATTGTATTGCTCGCCCGTCACATCATCCAGCCACTGCGTTGAGAACCTGTGCAGATGTGTCGACGAAGGTGTGGCTCTCTGGCGCAGGTACCTTAGCGAATCGCTGTAAGTGCTGACATCCAGAGACTGGTCCCCAAAGTAGAGGATCGCAGTTGACGTCGAGCACATGGTTTGGTAAGTGCCCAAGCACAGCTGGAGGTGATTCGATTAATTCAGAGAGAAGTCAACGATGCAAACGGGTTCTAGGTATCGGGGAAGGAAGCCAAAGAGAGTCAAAGAGTAGACACATCTTGGATAACTGTGTTTTCCTCCAGCCTGCTCGCTCTCACCACCCACGCCAGGAGGGTATGCCTAGATCTTGCATCTTTGGCAGGGAGTACACGTCCTTCGTGATGAAGCGGCGGTGTATCTTGGTTAATCTACACATGTTGTATCTCGGCTTCGGCGTGCCAGACTCCGTCGTCTAGCGTGCAATACCCAAGTATCCTGGCTCGGTCTCGCATCCTCGATGGTCCGTGAGAGTTCTTGACTTAGGGAAAGTTAAACTAGGGTCGGACCCGTACTCCGTAGTGCGGGACCCACGGATTCGGCATCGCTCTGACTCGTTACAACGGCTTCATTAACTTTGACAAGTTGTCAAACCAATTGTGTCTTAGGCAAACGACATGGTTGGAGCTACTCAATAATCCATTACACTCAGCAGTGTCAGTATTTCCGACTTCTAAGACAAGGGCAGGGGGCAAAGAGCTAGCGAACACCTCGCGTAGCCTACTACGGATACACGACGATGCAAGTTTCTCAGATTTGTAGGCGAGGCAGCATGGAGCAGAACTCTGTTAGAATGTCTACCAGCCCGACTCCGCCGGCCCACTGAGATTGATCTAACCTTGAAGTCAGAATGAGTGTGATGATTTGCATATATGGCATTGCACTCCGATCGTGCTGCTGACTTCGTCGGCATTTTCTCCGTTACCTTTTCGCTTCTGAGGTTTCGTCAGTCAAGACGACCAGTTAACAGACATGGTTTTCAACAACGCCAAGGCAGAATATTCGGAGGTGCACCAGAGTGAAGAAGGGTCTGAAGGCGAAGGGAGCTCGAGAATGCCGCCCCCGCCTGACCGCTTCACGCACTCTGCGTATCGCATGCTGATGGTATCTACCTTTTTGTGCTGCATTGTTTCTGTGGCAATTGGATTCTTCCTAGGCACATACGGCTTCAACTTGGGCTCTCGGCAGACCTCTTGTGCCACGGAGCCGAAGAAAGTCGATTCTGCTACTGGGCTTGGCATGGCCACTATTGATGAGGCACCTTTCATCACCAATGGTATGTGATGAACCCACTGCTGGTGTAGCGAGAAGCTGATTGAAGTTACGCAGTACCACTTGTCCGGAAGAAGTTTGAGCATGACTCTTCTTACAACTTCACAGCTCCGGGTGCGAACCAGAAGTGGCTCGATCTGATCTCATGTAAGTCTACTTCGATGCTGTTCACTCATATACCCAAGTTCGAAGCTCCGCGGCGTTTTCCTCATGTAACGTGCTATGAATGATGATTAACCTGATGAAATGAAGTTGGCAAGCCTTTCGTTGCGTTGAATGACCCGTCCAAATACGGCCTGCCGGACTACTTCCACAAAGACGCTCTTCAACCCGAAGGTCTGCAGCCCGTGGCCTGGAACGTTTTCCACCAGCTTCATTGCTTGGTAAGATGCCACTATCGAAGATGTCCCATGGTATAGAGTGCAGTCGTTGCTAATCTGCCTGTGACCAGGTTTGCATCCGCACCACTTACATGAAGCTGGCTCTGGACTTGGACGGTGGCTACGATGTCTGCACACGCCAGCACATTGAGCATTGCTTAGAGAGTCTTCGTCAGGTAAGATGACCCTTGAAGCCCTGATAACAGCCACAACGGGCTACAGATAAGAACCCTAATGCTGACGAGCCGTTCCTAGGCAACCATGTGTGCTGGAAACATGAACATGGAACGATTTGAGTTCATCCACTACCCGGGCCATGATGACTTTGTACCCAAGTTGGTCGGTCAGCACGAGATGCATACGTGCCGTGACTGGGACGCCCTCAAGGGTGCCATTAAGAAGGTCAGATCTGAAAACATTCCTGTGGACAAGTATGGGAAGCGTATACCTCAACCGTAACCTCGCCATAGCTACAAAATCGGTCTATTGAGCCTACACGCTTAGTGTTCCCAGTTCAACTCCCATGAGTCCACTACGTTGGTGCCGAGGATCTATCTCGAGAGAAACCCTCTGCAAGCAGAGTTGGGGCAACGAGAAGGACGCCAGTGCCACTCAGATAGCATATGATCAGCGAGGTATACTCCGTAGATGAAACTAGTAGCTACAGGTACCATTGTCATATAACCATCTACAGTGGCTGCGTCATTGGAGATTTCCGTATCCACCACTTTACGAAGTTCCGCAGATTCTTGACTTGTAATCCGAGGCCCAAACTGTAGTACAACCTGAGAATGGACAGACCGTAAGGGATTCTATGTTAATCCATGGATACACTGCTCCTGACATGACTAGAGTACATGATTCAGGGTTCAGAAGTCTCACCAACCCCTGATCACGAACAAGGAATGGACGTTGACCTCGATAGACTAATAGATGATTTAACTTTCCGGCTTAGATACACTCATCTGTCAGTGGAGCTCTAAAATAAGGTTCTTGTCATTTAGATGCCGCCGGCCCGACCGGTGGCATATCCATATACTAATAAAGTCTCTGATATTACTGTCAATCCTAGTCACAACTATCGTATAGTTCGTTTCGTTGATGTCGTGTCGGCTCGGGCTTGTGGTGACCTCGCAATGAATGCTGAATCCGAACCCGGCGCTATCGACACTCTGGCCTCTCTAGATCCAGTAGTCCTCGCCTAAACAAGGCCCCGACTCCTTGGGACTCCTGGCTGACAACAGGCGGTAAGCATATCTGGACACGTTCCGGTTGAGCGTCATTTGTGGATCACCTTTGCTCTTATACCCCAAGTCAATGAGTGACTAGCTGAGCCGTATCGAGCTCGAAGTCTCCGACGGGATGCATGTACCTCGATTCACAATGTGGTCCCGTATCAGTTGGGTGATCAGTTTGATGCTGTTCTCTTGGGCACCGCCGCCGTCTAGTACCACCAAGCTGGATGAAGAAGACATCAATGAACTTGGCGATCATCATGAAGGTCACTTAGATGTCGAGAATGCATTCAATGGAGTGCTGTCGGACTGGAAGAAAGCAGAGCCCCTGGCCCGTGGGCTCTCTCGATGTTTCTACGACACTCCGACATATCCTCAAGCACAAGGCCGTAGACTCGCCATCAGCCTTCTCAAATGTCTTCGCAGTGGGCTTCTCTTAGGAGGATTTGTCGAGCTTGCTGCTATGCTGACAGCCGCCCTCCCGCCCATCATCTTGCGCTGGCTTCTCGTAGCTCTACCAGAGCCGACCAAAGACGCACATACCTCTGAGGCAGATAGACCTCTGCAAGATGAGCAAGAGAGCTACGACGCCCGAATAACTCATTGTTACGGTCTAGTTGCAGCCATGGCACTCTCACAGATGGCTGCTGGCATCCTCATCAACGCGTCGCGATACAAGCTAGAAGGCGTCGGAGCCCAGGCAAAGGCTGCTCTCACGTACATCATCATGGACAAGGCCTTCTTGGCACCTCCTTCTTCGGCCGCAATTACCTCACCTCAAAGAGTTCAAGGAACGAAAAGGGGCCCGAGACGTCAAATCTGGAACTCCGGCGCCGTGTTTAACCTCGCATCCGTGGAAGCCTCACGCATAGAGGATTGCATCAGCGGTATTAACGCTATCTGGACCGTACCAGCTAGCTTCATCCTCGCGATCCCCATGTTGGTTGCGAATGTAGATACTTCATCGCTAGGCGGCATGGTGATCTTGCTTCTAGGTCTTCCTATCTTCACCAGCGTCGCTCTCCGCATCTGGGGCGAGCAAAAGGCTCTCAGCGGACTCTGCCGACGGCGAGCGGCCAGCACACAACAAGTGATCCAAGGCATCCGCGGAATCAAACTCGCAGGATGGGCTTCCCAGACCATGGTTCTAAACAAGCTGTGCGGGATGAGGGTCGTGGAAATGGTGACGGCAAGCCGGTTATGGCACAACCGCGCGGTGCTCGAAGCCGCGTGCGCTCTCTTGCCGACATTGGCATCTATGGCAAGCCTTATCCTCTATGATGCGTTCCACGAGGGCGTACCTGACCCAGCAAAGGCTTTCTCATCCTTTGCTATGTTCTTGGCGCTCAAACCGCATGTAAATCGTGCGGCACAGGCAGCGGTACAGTTGCAGGATCTTCTGGTGGGATGCCGCGCGATTGAGCAGTGGTTAGAGACGGAGGAGCCTGGTGAACTGATGGCGAAGTCTGCCGACTGGGCAGTTGATATAGCTCAGGATACAGTCGTTTGCTGGCCAGCCACATCTGAAGATGGCGACTTCGTACTGGCCTTTGACACCCAGGTTCGAATCATGAAAGGTGAAACGGTGGCCGTCTGTGGCGCACCTGGGTCTGGCAAATCATCTTTGCTATGTGCGGTCGCAGGCCAAATGTGCCTCGAGTCCGGCAGGTTAGAACTGGGCATCGGGTCAAATGTGGCCATGGCTGGCCAGACACCATGGATGAGGAGAGGAACGATCCGCAGCAATGTTCTCTTTGACCAGAAGTTTGACGAGACAAGATATTGGAAAGTGCTGGGCGCTTCAGCTCTCCTGAGCGATATCGACAGAATGCACCGTCGGGATCTCACGATTATTGGCTCTGGTGGTCAAGGTCTCTCAAGCGGACAAGCTCAACGTGTCAGTCTGGCCCGATCAATGTATTCGGATGCCGACATCGTCCTCATTGACGACTGTCTCCGAAACCTTGACCCTGCAACGGGCAAAGCCGTGTTCGAAGGCGGGATTTGCAGCTTGTTGGAGGGCAAAACGCGCATCATCGCAACAAACCAGGCTTGGTTGGCCCATCGGTGTGACCGGGTGCTGTGGCTCGAACATGGACGTATCAATGAGTTGAGGTCTCTGGATAAACTTGAGCAGCATTTGCCATCCATCGGAGTGGACGAATCTCCTCGGACCACGACGACGCAACCGCCAGCAGGACAACTCTTCTTGTATAAGGATGCAACACAGACACCAGGCCTGACTCCTGCACACGCATCTGTTGTATCAACACCACAAACAGATGTGAAAGTGCGAAAATCCTTCGACTTATACCTGGAACTCGTGGGTGGGCCAAAAGCAACGTCTACAGCAGGAGGTATCGTCTTTTGTTGGCAAGTGACCGCCGCCGGCCTAGTGCTTTGGCTCTCACTGTGGACTTCTAATCGGCTGGGGCTGTCGGGCTTTGCATCTGTATCAGTCTTCGCCGTGCTAGGATTTGGAGAGGCGATTCTGGCGTATTTGTTGTGCGTGAACGTCACCAGAAGGATGTTGCAAGCGAGCCACAGCTTGTGGGAACGATCAGTGAGACGTGTAGTTGGGGCACCAGTGAGGTTCTTCCAAGGCCATCTCTTGGGGAGCATCATGGATCGCCTCTCCAAAGATGTAGACACAACTGATAGAGAGCTGATTGAGGCAACGCGCAATGCTACACTCCATCTGGCGCGCCTGCTGGGTGGAGTTACCCTGATGTTGGCGATGCAGATCAATGTATGTACCTTCCCCATGTCCACGAAAGAATTGTGCTCACAAGATACCTCCAGCTTATCGTTGTTGTAGTGCCAGGCCTAGCTGCCGTCGTCGCTATGATGCGCCGTTACGCTCCTCGTTTGAAGACTGTCCGATCTCGCGAAGCTGAGCTACGGTCCCGCGTGAACGCTGCATTCAGCGAGAGCGTCGACGGCGCCAGCTGCATCTCCGTTTACAGGGTCGAAACATCGGCTCGTTCTCTTCTTGTCCAACGGCTGAATTCCTGGAGCAGTATCCGTCTGCTGGCCGCCGCAAACCTACGCTGGCTTGAAGTGAGACTTGACGCTGTTGTTGCCAGTACTATTGGGCTCACGGGTCTGCTTGTCGTGGCTTCCTCAGCTTCACTATCACCTTCCATCATTGGCCTGATAATGAGTCAGGCTTTGGTACTTCCGGCATCCCTGCGACAAGGCATGAGGTTCTCTACGAGCGCACTTCAGTCGATGGTCGCAGTTGACCGTCTGACATCTTATGCGACCAGTCTACCTCGAGAGGGTGAGACGGGGCGTGCCTTGGAATACCGTTTTTCTCTTGAACAATCGTGGCCGATCACTGGGGAGATAGCCGTTCGGAACGTGAGTGTCTCTCACCGTCAAGAGCGTGACCGGGAGACATCCTCTGCGTTGCAGCAAATGTCATTCACCATCCAAGGCGGTACGCATGTCGCGGTTGTAGGCCCCACAGGGGGAGGCAAATCGACTCTAGTCGCCCTACTCCTCCGCTTACTCGATCCCACGATGGGAACCGTCACCCTAGATGGCATACCGATGGTGGACATTCCGCTGCATGTCCTCCGGTCCCATCTTGTTGCAGTCCCTCACGATGCCGCCTCATTCCCCGATAGCACTGTCCGCGAAGTTGTCGATCCCAAAGGCAGCCATTCTCGTGACGATATCATTCGTCTACTCTCGGACTTGGACAGATTAGCCGGAATGCATAGTCAGGCAACTCTCGTCCTCGACGAACTTATTGACGAGCAGGTGGCACAAGGGACAGGGAGAGCACAACTGGCTGCCTTAGCATCCGTGATACTCCAGAAACCACGGGTATGTGTGCTGGACGAGGCACTGGGAAGCTTAAGCGTCCAATCGGACGTTGAAGTTACCAAGATGGTAAAAGAGAGACTGAGGGGCAGCACCATGGTGGTGGTCACGCATCGCATGGAGGTTGCAATGCTGTTTGATCGAGTACTCGTGCTTGACCAGGGCAGCGTACAGGTTTATGGTGACCTCCTCGATGTGTGGAGCAAGAATGAATTCTTTAGAAAAGCGTGCGATAGAGACGGAGTTGTACTTGAGAAGATTAGGAAAGTCGGGATAGATAGTTGAATGACAAGAGAGATGTAGATAGGCTATGCCACCAATAGGAACTGATCAGATCAGACAGCTCAGCCTTGGACTCCGGAAGTACGATGGTAATCAAATCAGACTCTCAGAATATATTTTGATTTGATCCAGTTCATACAATAAGGTATTCAACGTTGCCTCTAAGGTACCTTACTAACCGCGAAGATAACGAAGCTGGGTGAAGATGAATGTCAGAAGCATGCCTTCCCTCGCACATACCTACCTTAGTGATTGGCATTCTGAGTGCCAAATTCCGAAGTAATCCCGCCACCAGCCACACCTCGGTGAGACCCCAGGTATCCCCGGACCTGTAGTGGGGCCGCATTGTTAGGAATGTGAGCCGAAGCTCCAGTCGAGAGTCCAACCCAGCCGACTACATCGTGGCGGGGCTGCATCCTTCCACTGGCGACTCTGTGCGCGCAAATACACCTCTCGATTTTTGGATGCGCCTTCCTCAATATTCAATCAACATCTTCTTTACACCCATACATCATAACATGCGATAACTGAGGCCAAAGGCTTCACCACAGCAACCATGTCTGTGATTCTTTGCACAGGTGAGTGCTCTTGAGCCTTGAGGGACCTTTGCTTCTTTGTCTCCGCCAGCAAGGCATTGAAATCGGTCGCTAATATTGTCTAAGCGGGTTACGACCACACCATCAGGTACGAAACGATTGAAAACCCGACCCCGATCGCTGAATAATTGGGCGCCTTTGACTGACGCTCCTCCGAATCCAGGTTCTGGGAGGCCCTCTCGGGCATTTGCTCCCGTACGATCCAGCACCCAGATTCTCAGGTCAACCGCCTCTGCATCTCCCCCGACAAGCGCTTCCTCGCCGCCGCAGGCCACCACACGGTCAAGCTCTACGATATCAAATCGACGAATCCGAATCCGCTGCTTACCTTCGAGGGTCACACTGGTAACATCACCGGCGTCGCCTTCCACTGCGAGGGCAAGTGGATGGTGACTAGCTCCGAGGATGGCACTGTCAAGATTTGGGAGACACGCAGTGGCCAGGTCCAGCGCTCCTACAACCACGGCTGTCCCGCCAATGACGTTGTGATCCATCCTAACCAGGGCGAAATCATCAGTTGCGATCGCCAGGGCAGCGTTCGCGTCTGGGACCTTGCGGAGAACAACTGCTCCCACCAGCTGATTCCCGAGGAGGACGTCTCGGTCTCGAGCGTCACGGTCGCTAGCGATGGCTCCCTACTTTGCGCTGCGAATAATGGTGTAGGTTCCTCCCAATTACCCACAGCTATGAAATGCGACACCAGAACTGACAAGCAATAGGGCAACGTATTCGTATGGCAGCTGCTCCAGGCCTACGACCGAACCCAGCTCCTTCCGGTGACTCACTTCAACGCGCACAAGGAGTACATCACACGCATCCTTCTCTCGCCCGACGTCAAGAAGCTCGCGACCTGCAGCGCCGACCACACCGCCCGCATCTGGGAGGTCAAGGACCTTGAGCCTGCCCCCGACCAGGAGCCTAAGCCGTTCCCGCTCGAGGCCACCCTCACGGGCCACCAGCGCTGGGTCTGGGACTGCGCGTTCAGCGCTGATTCAGCCTATCTGGTTACGGCCTGTTCCGACCACTACGCCCGGCTGTGGGAGCTTCACAGCCAGCAGATCATTCGCCAGTACAATGGCCACCATAGAGGCGCGGTCTGTGTCGCCCTCAACGACTACTCAGAGTCTGCTAGATAACGATTCTGGGGTTTGCTAGGGAGGACACGTCTGCGTTGGTTGGTTCATTGGTCTACAAAAGGCTTTTTTCAATCATGGCTTGTAACTTTTCTTCATTATGATATTCGGGGATTGGGTTGGCGGGGCGTCTGGACAGTCCTTTGTATCGCACTCACAGATGAGGCTGCGGCCGTCTGCATTACAAATTCTCAATTGGCAGGCTTTACTGCTACAAGAACATTACTTGCAAGATTATGGTATCCCGCTCCCCCTTAACGCCGTGAATGCTGCCAAATTCGTCGGTCTTGCCGCGATTGCTGCCTACCACCCGTCTCCCCATCCTTCATCGTCATCGTCGTCCTTTGGCTTCATGTCAATCTTCTTCGCTACCACAGGCTTAGCAGCCGGCTTCGACACCAGAGGCTTCTTCGCTGCAGTCGTTGACTTTGAAAGACCCTTTGGCAGCGGCTTGCTTCCTCCAGTCTTCTTTTGCGACTGCGCGGCCAGCCAGCCGGCAAAATCGGGCTCAGCACCGTCGTCGAATGGAGTTGCGCTGGCGGTAGTTGCCTTCTTAGCCGATGAGTTGCTGTTGGCGCTTGGCTCTCCCCAACCATCGTCATCTCCCAGATCGCCCCAAGCGTCTCCGCCGTCGTCTGCAGGTTCCGGATTGAACGCGTCTGCCACGACCGACGAAGGCGTCCGCGACATCGGCGGGGGAGACTTGACCGCCTGGCGATGCAGAGCAGAGGCCGAGGATGTGATCGGCCTCTTCGCGTCTGGGCCTGGGGACGGGGTCGGCTTCGGGGATGCCGCTCCCGAGCCATTAGAGGTCTGCATCTCACCGTTTGCTGTCGAAATCTTGTTGGTAAAAGACGAAATGGCCCATCCAGCCCAGGATGACGCCGAGGCCTCGTTGGGCTGAGGGGTGCTCATCCGAGGCCCGCCGGCGCCTTCTGCGGCCTGAGGAGGCAGAGCGGATTCTGGCATGTTGGAGGCGGCCTTCCTGACTTGCTTCAGGTAAACGTCCATCGTCTTGCTCGCCTGATCACGAATGACCTTCTCCTTGTCAATCAGCAACGGGCAGACCGCGGGCATTATCCTCAAAGCCACATCCTCGTCGGAGAAGCAATCCCCTGTGACGCCGAGAGCCATCAGCGAGGCATTTCGGGCGTGTACAAACGGATCACGCAGGGACCTGGTGAAGGCGGCGATGAGTACCTTGCTTCTCGAAGAAGTTCCAAGGTTTTTGGCAATCTTTCCTAGACAAATTGTGGTGTTTGTTCGGATGCCTGGTTGTTCGTCGTTGGCCGCCTTGGCGAGGTACTTGAGCAGCTCTCCGTTGATGGTACGATCTGACAACTTCCCAATAATGACCAAAACCGACTTCAAGGTCTGTTCTCGGACAACGGGTGCCACGTCTGTAAAACCCGTGACGAGCTGTGGAAAGATTTTGTCATTGACCACTTTTTGTGTCAGTCGATCGATCATCAGAGGCAGGCTATCGAGAAGGCAAACGCGGATTGCTCGATCGGGGTTTGCGAATAGGCGGATGACGACGGGTGTAATCTTTGAGTCGAAATCCTCGTTTGAAAGCTTGGCTGCAATTTTCATTACGACACTGAAGGCCTTCGGCCCGCCGCCGCCAAACTCAACTGACTTGATGAGCTCCGGGAGGATCTTCATCTTGAAGAAGTCTTCAGGGAAATCATCCGTTAGTTGATCGAGATCACTATCTGGGTCAGTTATATTTTCGCAATACTCAACGCCAAAAGACCTACTCGAGGAACGCCTCTCTCTCAGTCTCAGTTTTCACCCCAAGATTCTCGATGCCCTCCGTTAATTTGATTAGGGGGCTATCGAAGAAAGATCCGCTTCGTTGCCCTTGTTCTAGAAAGTGGCCAACACTGACACGCGCCTTGGGGTTTGGGTTGACGAGTCGCTTGTAACTTTGTTGCATGGTCGGAGGAATGCTTTTCGTCTGGCCGGCTTGGTCAGAGCCCATGAAGTCGCCGTTGAAGACTTCAAAGATCATACATCCAAACCCGAACGAGTCCACGGCGGAATGCGGGCTCTTCTTGATGGCATCCCAGCCACCACGGGCAAGCTCAGGCGGCGCATATCTCCCTGAATCCGGCACCAGGCTGCCGTATGTCTACAACTTGACGTGAGTAATGACATCCTCCAACTATGAGAAAGAAGACCTACGTAGATCACTGCTTCGTCGTCTTTCACGTTGCTCAGAACCTCAAAGCCACTCATCTTCCACTCCCCACTCTCAGATGTGTATACAGAGCCAACCCTTAGGTTGCCGTGTATTGACGAAGCTTCATCATTGATAAATTTGATGGTGCGCTGAGGAACAGTCAGTCTCCCTACCGACCTCGTTGTCGTTCCAACATACCGCGACGCTGCTCAATCCCCATTTCATCGTTTCTGGTGTGAGACTCTTTCTCTTCACGTGCCATCGCAGAGGCACCACTCGCTCGGTCGCAATGTAAATGTATGTGTCGGTCTGTTGAGACTTGTGAGACAAAGCTTCGTATAGTCGAGGGCCGCCCTTACCTCTACGGTATCTAACACCTTGATAACACCTGGGTGTCGTAGCGTCCTCAGCTTTCGCAGCGCGTTCTTCGCTAGGGGTAGTCGGGACTTGTTGGCGGCAACGTCGAAGGAGAAAATACTGCAGTTGGAACCGTCTTCCTGCCAAAGGGTGTTAGACATCGGGTTGTCGATTGCATCGTCGGGTAGCAAGACGTACTCGCTTGGTGCCGTTGGTCAATGTCCAAATGGACTCGTCGATGTCCACCTTGTCGCCGAAGCTATAGGGGAATGGTGGCCCCTGAGCAATGGCAGAGGCCACCGCTGACTTGAGGAAATTCATTATGTTCTGCGGAGTCCAGACGCGTCTTCAGGAAGACAAGATCTGATCAATCGGGAACTGACGGTCTTGAAATTGTAGATTTGGCGGAAGGTGCAACACACGCGCTGCCAGTGCTAGGCAGGGAGCTTCAGGCAACTTGGCGACAAGATAGTGGACCGTTGACACTGGAACAGGGGACCACGAGCAGCTCATGCCTGAAGATCCCCGCGCTAGGCTATTTTGGATGGAGGGGTGGTACGGGTGACAAATGATCCGTTCGCCGATGTTTTGGGTGGGCCCGGATGCGTATCGATGGTCCCCGTCCACGTCGTTCCGTCCGTTAGCGAAGCTAGGCAAGGATTACCCCGAGGTCCTCCAGTGAACTCAAGCAAGCGACCTTCATCAACCTCCACTGAACGCAACGCGAGGCGAGAGCCTCAGCAACCCATCCAGCCTTGCGACTCAACAAAAAGCTAGGTTTACCTTGAGCTTTCGCGCAAGCTACGAAGGGAAAACTTGATCACGACTCTGCGCGCCCACAATAAGACTACTTACTACTCACTAACCTTCAACCCGGTCCCAAAGCCATTCCTCTTCATAACCCATGCCCAAGTGTCGTGCGCTGGTGGCCGAAGGCGCGACTCTGAGGGAGCAGGCGGTTCTCCAACGGGTAGGTGCGATTTTGCTTCTCTAAGCCCTCGATTTTCTTCCCCCAACCCCAACCACACTTTCTTACGCGCAGTGATGACTACTGGTAAAAGGTCCGATCGAAAAGGATTCTTCTGGGTTTGTTGTCTCATCTTGTTACCATTCAATGGACGTTCCTGGTGGACGAGCCGCGTACTCATTCTCGCAAGGCTTTCGCCAAGCGAAAAGCCTACGCGACAGACGGAGCTGCCCAAATACTGCAGTACACCAAGTCATTTGAGCAACGACATGAAAACGGCCTCATTTTGGAGTTCTGCTACTAGATAACCAAACGGAGTAGGACCAAAGGCTCAGGCAGACAAGGAAACCGGTACAAGATGAGACTACGAACCCGCTGTGGTCCCCAATATGAAGACCAAAATGACTGAAAAGACCTGAGCGCACACCTTATTGTTCACAACTGTCATCGTTTTGCTCCAATTCGTTTTGCAGGACCTTCCGGGTCCCGTCTAACGTCAGGTTGAACTTTAAGCTAACCTTGCTTTAGTAGAACCCCCTGTCATGCACCTCTGGCCACATAATCTCCAAATCCCAGACCATGAAGATAAAAGAACCCACGATCATTGTGTACTTCCTCCTTAACACGCTGTTCTAAGGTTGCATTGAGACGCGCCATTCAGCTCAATCTCTGCCAACGGTTTCCCGAAAGACCCAAGCGGCCAATCTTATCAACGCATCTTCGCTGCCTCCAGCACTTGAGCAACATCCTTTTGTCCTCCAGAGCAGGTCTGGTCAGGCAACAAATCTTTTGAGATCCACAAATCCCGATCCTGTGTCCGTTGAAACTCATCTCAGCAAGTTGACAGAATCGATATATCTTCATGAAGGCCCAGGCTGTGAGGAGATGGAGTCCTTCGGTCAGCAATCTACAAAACGGTGTGTCGAAGACGGATGCAATTCCGCGGCTCTTGATGGGGCACGTTGCCTAAGTCATGGGAAAGAACGACGTCAAGCAGATAAGATGATTGCTCGAGCCAATGCTACGCATCTTGCTGCCGGCCCATCTGGACGCGGACCTCAAAGGCCCCTAGCGGTGCAAAACCCATCGCAGAAAATCGGGCGACCCAGAGACGACGAGCAGTCAAGAAGCAGCCAGCCTCATTCTCGGGGCGGGAACCTTCGAGACGAGCCAGCATACGCTCCTCATAGCGCCCAGGACACAGTCAGAAGGACGAATCTGCCGCCAGATCTCGTGGGGAAATTGGCGATGACAGCCAGAAAGACGGCTGGGACAAGAGCTCCTTCCAGGAAGCGCACAGAAGAAGAGACTCATTCAAGCTTCCAGACTACGTCTACGCAGACTCACATTCGTGAGTCTGGCTCACCTATCAATCATGAAGCTCTCCCTCCTGGCACGTTCAATCCTTTTCGGTCGCTTCTGAATCCAGTGCACTCGCCATCGCAAGACCAGATGAAGCGATCTCCTAGCAGTGTCGACACAGCCCAGCGCATATCACAGCCGTCCGCAACGGTTGAACATGTGCAAAACGGGAAAAGGAAGTCATGGGGCTTCACCTCGGCACAGCCTTCTCCAGGGGGGTATCGAATCGGTCAAAGCTCTCGAGCATCTCAACAGCCTGCGATTATGCCAGGCACCAAGAACGTGTCGCACATTGCCCGCGATTCGAGCGCTCATCCGGATACTGAAAGCCATAGAAGTCTATCTGCGGGAAGAATTTCCACTGCACTGTCGGCATCTGCGTTACCTGGGAATAGAAGCTTTGATTCGCTGCCTCACGTCAGTACTAAGAGTCTGCCGCCAATGCATGTGAAATCGGCTCCATCAGCATCACGCTCCGCTTCAACAAGTAGGTTTACGTCTTCGATCGGCAAACGGAGAAGGCTTGATAGTACCGACTCGACGTCCGAATCATCATCATCATCATCATCATCCTCGTCGTTTGGATCTTCTGATGACGAGGATGACCATAGAGCTCCCGAGCAAGCGAAGGTAGTCGTCGGACCACCCCGTTCGTCCACTTACCTTGGTGCCGCAGCGACTTTGAATGCTTCTCGATCCTTGGCTTCTTTGGGGATTCCTGGTGCCAATCTTGAAGCATCACATTCACACTCATTGAGAAATGAGGATACCACTCGTCTGGGAGCGGTTTTCAGGCCTATTGTTCTCAGCTCTTCATCTGACGAGAACGAAGAGGGTGGACGGGAGAGAACTGGGAGGATACGGCAGCCAAATCTTGCCAACGGGCAGAGTCATCATCACGTCCTCCGCAAAATGAAGAAATTGACCTGCGAAGAGCGTCGAGTACAGCTTTGTGCCGACTTCGAATTCACAAAGTTCGACGCCATGATATATAGCCAGCCCGACGCCACGAGACCTCCTCTTGGGGTGTATACTCTGTCTGCGCCAATAGAGACGTCGAAAGGAGCCTCGACACCTGGTGCAGATGACAGCCGCTTCCATATGAAGCTTGACCCCCGCATCCACTGGCCGCATAATCGCAGTGACCAGTGGTATAAGTCGAAGATGGAGGAAATCAAAGCTCGAGGCGGTCGCAAGGTAAACTTTGGCAAAGCAGCCAAGCGCATGCGACAGCAGCGTTTGGCAGAAGAGCGCCAGGAAGAGGAAAAAAGATTGGCCGTCTCTCGAGGCGAGCCACCGCAGGTCAACAACTCGCCGCGGCCGTGGTCACATCACAGGCCTATGGACTTTGGCGATGTGCCTGAGGAGGAGTTGCCAATTTACGTCAGGAGAAACGAGGAGTGGTTACGGGGAGCGGCCTGGATGCGCAAGATGCGTGAGGAGGGTCAGCGGAGGGACGCTCGTCGTGCCGCTGGGTTCTTCAAAGAACAACTCTCCTCAAATGGTCGATAGCCCGACTCTGGCCCGATGTGTTCAGTACTATCATCAGTACAGCCGGCCACGGGCTGTTATTCTGTGTTGCTACTCATCTTTACCAGCCATGGAAAGAGCGGGAAAGGGACAGGGAATGCTCAGCATGGAGTTTGGGCTGCATTTTGTTTCCTTCGCTTATTTCATATCGATGATACCAAGATCTCGCCGCAACTCGGCTAGGTCTACACGCATAATTTCGGAGTTGTCAGGAATGGTACGGAGGAATTATGCCTCCTCTCTTAGGCCGTTGCGAACTTACCTTGGAGCGGCATTGTCTTTTCTTTCTGCTATGAATGACGACAAGCAGTCGTTAATCATGCACCAACCAGCTGCATAGGTAGTAAATAAAAACAGGATCATGACACCCTTCAAGTTCTAATGCCTACCCAGTGACTTTTGTCGCCTTCCAAAAATTTTGCATTTTACCCTAAAGCCCATATTTTGTATTGAAAAGTTCAAGCAGGGCCGTGAGAAGGTGAGTATTTACTTGAACATGGGACGAAGAGGTAGAGCGCGCGTGCGCCTTCGTGATGGGGCCCAGTGTTTTAGGCTTATTTGGGCTTCCAACCACGGATGCAGTGCATGAATTTGCTCCACGGACTCGACCTTCAATCTTTAGGTTCCCCATCAGCTCGCTACATGCCCCAATAACCACAAAGCTGCAGCGCAACGACGAAAAACCCGCTCACTTACAATCAAAACTTGAAAGCCACTGATAGCAAGCAGACAGCCTCATCATGGCGTCCACGCAGCTCCCCCTGGAGACTCTATCGACTTGGGCCATGTTCAATGACGTAGACCTCGTCGACGTCGAGGCCCGCGAGATTCCGGGCTGCGGTCTGGGTCTACTTTCGAATAAGGAGCTCAGTCGAGAGGAAGAGACCTTTGACATTCCAACCTTGCTCAGGATTCCCGGGGAGCTGGTTTTATCTGGTGAAGCTGTTGAGAACTATGCAAAGGTCGACAAGAACTTTCGGCAGCTGCTCGAGGCTGCCGGTCACAAGGTAGAGTGCTCTCCGAATTGACATGGACCCCGAAAAGCTAAGGAATTACCCGTCTTCTCAATATAGTCAACTCGACACGATGTTTGTCTCTTTCTTCTCACACAGAAAGTACTTTCCGATAGGCCTAAGACGTCTTTGAAGGGTGGAGTCTCGACGCCGTGGACAGAATATGTCAAGTACCTGCCGCCGCAAGTTCCTGTTACCACACTCTGGACAGAGCAGGAACGTGAAATGTTGAATGGAACATCACTTGAGGCAAGTAATTCCCTTGCCTTCGTGACCTGCCTTCCTCCCTCCATGACTACCCCCTTCCCTTCAAATCAATATCCCGGTTGTCGTTGGTTAAGCATGGTTCGTCCAACCTCCACGCTTGACAACAGTTAATATCACCTCACAACTTTCATGGGATCATCCTCAGACGAAGACCTCGCTCGCCAAGAACTGCGGCTCAAAGA